TCATTCTAAACTTACGTCAGTGTGGAGAATAGACTAATGTGTCATCACTTACATTTACAAGACTTTCCCATTACTGAAAAGAACTGTCATTTACGCACATGTGCAGCATCACTCAGATATTTTAAAAGAGATACTCGGGTAAGTTTACGGATGCCTAAAGCAATATAGGAAATCGAGCACAATGATTTTTAAAAAATGATTACAAACAATGCATCTTGCAAGTCAGAATGTCCGCTGTGTTTAACATTTTTGCGTGTCGGTTTTTTCAAGTAAAAATTGAAATGTAAAATTATTTTTTACTCAAATGACTCAAACGCCTCGAATGAGCATTGAGGCCGCCCGACAAGTTACTTGCGTTTGACTGGGGGGAGGAATTTGTCAGTTGGGGACTGTACCATCTCCCACTTAGCACGGGGGGAGCGTTTTCGTCAGTTCATTGCAAAGGTGTTAATGCCTTTTACGCACATAGCACACTCACATGGCGCTAGGTAGTTGTTGCTTGGTAGTGTTGTTAATTGACGGCTAGGTCTACAACTGCATTGTCTGCAGCAGCTGAATAGTGTGTAATTGATGAGATCTGACTCGTAGTGTGGCTTGAGTACAGTGTTCTATTCAGAAATTGGCGAGGGTTGTAGTGACATGTGGAAAATAAAGCTTGTATAAATGCAAGTAATAGTAAGACTACTCTGTAGGATCATGCATTTTTGTGCAGGCATGAGCTTGCTTATTCATTGGGTAGCGTACGGGGGAGTTACTGTCGAACAACAAAACATCAATTGTGGTTGTTTTATAGAATTGGTGACAGTTTTATAACTTTGGCATTGGCTCTAAAAAACGTGGTTACCCTTCCAGATGACAGCCGTAGAATGTAAATAGTGTTGCATCAGCGGAATGTGCAACAAAGGACAGTGTTTTCTTAAGTGCCAGACTTATTTAAGGTTTGTAATTCTCTGAAGTTATTCTTTTATCTGGTCTTGTGGTGCTGTTGGTAAAGCACTTGACTCTTAATCAGAAGGTTGCAAGCTAACATTTTGGTTAAGGGCCAACTTGGCCCATCATCTCTACGGGATTGTTAAAATGAATACTCCCGAGTGAAGTCAACAGAGGTCCTTCAATGAAGAGCTGGACGTGTACCACATGAATGTAGCATTTACCACCATGTGTTTAGGGCAGCTATCGGAGGTGAATATCATCACATTCAGTTTAACACGTAGGCTTTTGCGTCCAATATTATCCATAATCGTGTTTTGTTTGGGTTAGATCGCATAACTATAAATGTGTTGGTAAACCCGCCACCACCTGACACAGCCAATGAGTAAGGTTTGTCACGTAAAAAAAACATGGCAATTCATTACTAGTACATTACACCGGCGTGTTGAAGAGTAAACCCACAACATTTACAATTCGAGCATGACGTTTTGCTAGTAATTACAACTCGGTCTTATTTTATACCAAAACAGGTGGATTTTTCCATAACTTTGGCTATCACCTGATGAGGCTGGTTGTAATTACCGACGCTATATTTGTTGATAAAATGGCATGGCTGGCACTTTGTGGTAAAGCACATCAAACTACTCTTCTTCAAAACAGTTGGCTTTTTGCGATGTGCCACCTTTGTCAAATTGACATGCATTTCAGCATTTTGATTTGTGGAAATACAGTATTCGTTGTCTGCCAGCTATATTCCATTTGTCCTCTTGGAAGGATGTGAACATGAGATGATGGATTTTCTAAAGATAAAGAAACATCCTTTTGAAACTCCCAGTCAGGCATTGGTCCCGATGGTGACTCCACAAGATTTTTGCTAGTTATTTCAGTAAACTTAAATGATCTAGGATGAGATTGAGATCTTTTGCGCACTGCAAAGAGTAGTTCAATGTATGTCATCCGAAATTGTACTTCTCAGAGTCTTAATAAGGGTTTAAATGGCTCATGCGCCGTCAATTATTTGCACATTCTCTCACTAAACATTATTGTATGCATCCTTGCATGCCTGGTGGTTCAATAGAATGCTAATGATGGCAAAATAGCCCAGAGGTTCGAATAAAATGTAAATGAGGAATTATGTAGACGGAATATAGGACAGTCGCTCTCGAGGTGTGAGGCGGCACGTTACATCAAAGCAGTCGTAGGAGCAGCTTCCATTGACTGCGGGAACTGAACACTGAATGACGATGCTTAATTCACCCTGCATTGCTCCTACATTAAATGCTAGAGATCTGCCATTGCATTTCTCATTCTGAACGCAAATATGAATTGTCCTTTATTTTTTGCTGACGCTCATGCTGGCATTGCATCGTGCAACAGACGCGCTCCTGGCTGTGCTGATGAGTTGACGCATTAGCTTCTCCATTTAATGTCAAAACCGATGCATTCGCCGTGAATATTTTAAATAAACAGCTTGGAGCTGAATTAGCAAAGGACCTTTCCTGTTTTGACCCACATTATAGGATGCCTTGTACTGAGCTTTACATTTGTGATGTAAGATTGCACGCAAATTGCTTATTTTTATGCTTTAAGTGACAGGCGGCTTGACTTGTACAGAAAGAGACAAAGTGGTGCAGCGCAGATGTTGTTTTTGCAGTTGATATTTTCATTTAATTTAGCTTGAGACGAAGCAAACAACTGTACACTTCTCCACATGGGTTTTCCAGTAGTATTAAATATGAGGGTATGTATTTGCATCTAAGACTTACTGTACATTCCATAAGAAATTAGGTTTTGGCTGATCTTGGTAGTATGGTGGGGATGCATGCCTGCAAACCAGAAACTGAGGCAAGATGGAGTGCATGGGGATGAAGCAATGGTGTGAGAAATCCAAAGCAGAATGAGTTCCTAAAGGAGGTAGTACAGCAAGTACGTTTATGAGATAACAGAGTTGTCCCTCTTTTCGAGTTTCTCCAGTCACATATAAGTGTAATAATGCAATTTAGAATGCTCACTTTCATGGACCCAAATGACCGTGACTGAGGTGCGGAGCTCAGTTCAGTGACACTGAAAGGCCAAGCGGAAGAGGTGGGCCTTTAATTGCATCTTAAAAGTAGGTGTAGATTGAAAGCTATGAATGTGCAGTAAAATGGTGTTCCAGAAGGAGTAGGCTACCATGGAGAAATTATTCCTGGCAGCGACGGTTCTGGTGATGGGCATTCAGCATTGGTTATGAGTTGCACGTGTGATGTGATATCATCCAAAGCTCCACATAAATATTTAAGAATTCATTGTTGTATGGCCATCTCCTAGCCACCTCATCGCCCAGGCCCACAATACCTAGTTGTTGTTGACAGTTTTTATTTATCCGCATACCAGGCTCAAGCCTGCTTGGTTCATGAGATGTTATGCTGATATAAAATAGGACATACAGGTAGTCCTCTTCTTACAATGGAGATGCGTTACGACGACTCCATCGTAAGTCAAAAATATCGTAAGTCGTCGGACCATCGTAACTCGGGGACTATCTGTACTTGTATTGTTTTTGAAGAAGCAGTGCTTTTTTAAATCCTTTATATTAAGTTCACTTGCTTGCTTGCTTACGACCATGCAAATCTTTCGGTCGTTTTTTAACCCACTTCCCGTCATCCAATCGAGCTGACATTTTGCACACAGACTCGTTGTGCGTGACAATGTATTTTCGTGATTTTTTTTCCAAAATTTTACACCTTTTAGGAAAAAAAAAATTATATTTAATTACCAATTGCTTCATGGTGGCAGACAATCATCTGACCCATAGGTGGCAGCCATCTCAAGCCAGAGGATGAGAGGACTCTAGCCGCCCATTTCAAAGACCAATGTGGGCTGGGTTGTGGCCCATTGAACACGCATATAAAGGATTTATAATGAAAAACTTTGTTTTTACGGGTTAATTTTTCTGCACAGTTGTTGCTTCTGAAAGAGATGAAAATTGCACAACATCTTGCAATAATTTGTTCTCCAATCACTATGCTCTCGCTTGCTAAGTTATAGGTTACTCGTTACTTCATAAAATGCACTGACCTAGTTTAAGTAAATGGCTCAAATTTTTGAAACGCAACGCTTGATTGCCGGAGACATTGTGTCCCAATGGACACTAGCCCTGGCAATAAATTGACCAAGTTTTTTTTTTTGCCGTGGGTTTTTTGACTCGTATAATGATGGGGGAGAAAAAGGCAGCCAGGGATGTTGTGCCACTGCCTATGCCACTACCTATTATGGGCCCCAGTAGGTATCCATTAGACAGCAGCACTGGCCTCTCCATCCAAGTGTTAAATGGGTATTTTGTTTATGCATGTGCATACGTGGATGATTTTGTGTCTACTGTAATAACCCTATTTACGACTCCCTTTTACGCCGTTTAGCAAATACGTATTTATTAATACCACTACCTAATTTGCGTCCTCTCATCCCACATGTCACTGACAGCATCTGTCCTTTGTCGTATCCGTCACCTCCACCTACCCTGTAAATTGCTTTGATTTGCGGTTTTTTCGTAGGTTCATGAGCATAGGTTCAATTGGAGGATGATAGGAATTACATAGTAGATTATAATAAATAGCTTGCAAGTTGAAAAACATGGGAGAAACGTGTTTTAGATGTCATGAGGAAGAGGTTGACATTCGTGAGCCATATTTTGAGAACAGAGGGAAAGTTACAGAGACAGGTACTGGAGTTGCTCCTCAAGGTTGGTGACCAAGGGGAGAAGACCCTTAAGATTGGACCTTCGACGGCCAGAGCCAACTTTTCAGCAACTCTTTTATCTAGCAGAAGGATATAAGTGGTGGTGCGATGTTTTATTTTCAACATTATTGGCTATTTAATAGCTTCTTGATCTTTGTGTGTTTGTAACGGTTTAATTAGGCATGTAAAGGTTTATGTGCTCCTTGTTTGCTTCAAGTGCTTATACTCATGAATTATGTTACCGTGATGAAAAACAGGTACACGGTAAAAAGGTTCTCGCTGCAATCACTCGCAGTGCAAGGCTGACCATGGGGCGTTGTCCGTGTCGTTGTCTGGTGTCCGGCACGCAGGCAGGATGTTCTGGAAGTTTGACCTGCACACGACGTCGCACATCGACACGCTGCTGGAAAAGGATGATGTGACGCTTGCCGAGCTCATGGATGAGGATGACGTGCTGCAGGAATGCAAGTCCCAGAACCGCAAGCTCGTCGACTTCCTGGTGCACCCGCTCGCCATGCAGGAGCTTGTGCGCCTCATCACCCAGGAGCCGGCCGAGGACCTCGACGAGAAGATCCGATACAAGTGAGAGGGGCTGCAACACGGGTGGTGGTTATTCTGTTGGCGTGCAGGGAGGGGGTATTATAGTTTGAGGGTTCAGATCACTTTGTGAATGGAGATGAGGAAGACCAACTGTGTGTGGCTGTGACATCACTCACGTATGTATGTTAAACTTCTTCTTGCACCATACGTAGCCAAATTTGCTAATCTGGTGCTTTGGTCGCACACCTGAAAGTTACGTGGCTGAGCTTTTTAACGTGGGTTTTTAGCATTAACAATGATAAAAACTTGCTTGACATATCATGCGTCACAGCCTAGGGTATGAGTCTGCAAAACACCAGGTGTGTGTTTTTGGATTGTGTCTTTAAAAATGGGTGCTTTAGTCACTGTGTTGGAAATAAAAATTCTGATTGCTGAATGATGACATGGCTTTGTGTCTGTGGGCAGTATTATGAGTGTGCCATGGATTATAAAGATTTCACAGCATAAACACCGTTTTGTGTGTCACACGTAAAGCATTTTCTGGTTCATGGTAAAAGCACAACTTGGCTGCGAAGAAGCAAAAAATATTACCGATGTGAATAACAAATGTTAGCATCAAAACCAGCCAACTTAGATTTGCTACTAGTTGGCTTGCATTACAAAGCGTACATTTTCTGGTGGGGAATTAATTAGGTGGGCATTTGCATTTTAAGTAAGTATTTTTGTTGTTGAATGGACATTTGTTTCACGACAGGTCAGCACTTGAATGTAACGGGCAGAACCAGATTTAAATATGAAGGGAAGTAATACTTGTCAAAGTGCATACATAGGACAGTGCTCTCATATCCTTTGCAGGTCCAAGCTAGAGGTGGAACTTCCACATTACTATGGTGGGAACCATTTTGGACAAGTACTTTTTGACAGTGAATGGGAGGTATGGCCATGTGTCGTATCAAGGTGTAAACTTCTAATAAAATAAGTATCCTCATCCAGTTGACCTGATGTCAGTGAATTAAGACCAGGTTCCCTGTTAAATGGGAATGAGTCATGGTGAAAGTAAGGTTAGGGTTGAGGTGAGTAGTGGTCTTCTGGGGCTTGCATGGCAGTAGGACTGAAAATATACTACAATTAATTTGGTATTAGAATTTTTGTCCCTTTTTATATTCACTGTATTTCGTATCTTTCCTAATATAAAGATGATGCATTGTCATGGGACCGAGAAATGACAATTTGGAATGCTTGCAGAACGCAATGCACCAATGATGTCTGGAAGATGATATCACAGAACTTTTTTTGAGCTCCGTTTAATTGCTTTATATCCACATAGTATGTATATATGTTGAACTTCTGATGCACCATACATAGCCAACCATGCTAATCGGAGGCGTGGAGGAAGGTCAAACTAACGACAAAAAGCAAACATGTGGTAGACCTGACTTACTCTGCTTTAGAGGTGCTACGTGGTAAATTAGCAAATAATGTTAATTTTCAGAGCTGGAAACATGCCAATCTAAGAGAAAAATCTAAATGAAGATTGTATTTTTTGTATAGTCGTCAGTGACTAGCATGAGCGGCAAATTCATCTTCCAAGTGGAGAGGGCTTTGTAATTTGCCAGCTCGTGTACAATTGCCTCCCCTTATGGCACGACCTATGGTGCTTGGATTGAGACCATAAATTCCCTACACCTGAACTTCGTTTAATCATGGGTGGCTGCCTGGATTCAAACCCCAAAGATGTCATCAGTTGCAGTTTAGTTCTCTGACATGCTATTAGCCCTCTGAGCTGCCCAGTCCACCTCGATAACCTTGTTACTTTATTCAGGTACATCTCCATTATCGTAGTAACAAGGCGATTTGTGAGCGTTGCTGAAGATATATAAATGTGCCAATTCGTTACAATGTTATGTTTAAAAGTCTTACTAATTGGCTGTCGGGTGGTGGCGGGTTTAATGACACATTTATATAGTTACGCGATCTAACCCAAAAACCTGTTTTGGATGATATTGGTCACGAAAGCCTCCATGTTAAACTTGTTGAATATAGCACTACAGAGAGAGAGAGCCTTGCGTCTCCTCACCTTCTTCCTCATTCCCTGTCCGTCTTGTCTGTTGCACGCTCCCGTGTAGGTACCCGAATGTGGCGTGCGAGCTGCTGACGGCCGACGTGACGCAGATTAACGACCGGCTCGGGGATGACGAGGCCCTGCTGGCGCGCCTCTACGCCTTCCTAGAGCAGGAGCCACCCCTGAACCCGCTCCTCGCCAGCTTCTTCAGCAAGATCATGGGCATCCTCATCAGCAGGAAAACTGAGCAGGTGGCCCAAAACACATTGCTTTGCACAGAATAATCATGCAAGTTTTACTTTTATCTCTCCGATGTGTTTTCAGATTGCAATGTGTATTGTCCATCATGATGTCAGATGTTTTGCCCTACATGTGGGGAGATTCTGGAAATGAATTGAGCATTTTCAGGCACTGAATGTAGCTCCAAAGACGTGTAGCTCTCGTACATCGTGCCAGACAATATGCGTTACAACTTGAACCCATCGGAGAGCTGTTCAGCGTAACTCTGAAAACCTACACGAAAGTTTGACTTTGCTTTGACGAGAGATTTAACTCCAAAATAAACAACTCGTACATTGTCCCCCCAGCAGTCCAACACTTAAGTTTTGAGATGTAAGCTTGGCACTAACTCTGAAGTTTTTTTTCATTAACAAAGCTTCAAGCTCACATCAGACAGCCTAGGACTCGCAGCCCAGTTACGTATGTACACTAAAAGAGCTTTATGATTTGGTTTGCATCGAAGTAAACTAAAAAGTCGTCTTGTTCAAGCTTGTGTTGACTGGCACTCATTGTTCAGTGGCCCTAAACCAGTACTGGAGGGGGTATACATTATTTTGGTTGGGATTGCTTTATTCAGAGGACAACCGATGTTGACTTCCAACAAATTTGTGCTAATTTTATTAAAAGCAGAAGCATGTGATTATCTTAAGCTGAGTCAACAACTAACAGCTTTCCCATTGTGTTCCATGCTCTAACCACAAAACCACCAGTCCAGATGTATTACATTTCATTCGTGAATCAAGGCCCATGGATGATTATTTTATTATTATTTTTGTTTACCCAGGAAATCCTCACTGAGTCTCAAGACAGTTTTTCAGGAAGGCCCTATCAAGTTTTGGTTGTTGGAGGCGATCTTACTATGTGTTGTCCCAATTGAGTTTTGCAGGTAATACTTCAGTTGTTTTGCCCGATAGAAACTACATTATGGTTCTATTAGCTATGGGAGGAAACTGGTGAACCTGCAGGAAACATGCAGAATAGGGACAGAACAAATAAACGCCACACATTAAGGCACCTGATTCAGGAATCGAACCCAGGGACTTCTCACTGTGAGGCACACGTGTTACCATCTTGCCATTTTCCCCAGATATTCTGGTATCCTCCAATGCAAAATATCCCAAGTAAGTACTTTCTAAAATTATTGGCTTAGTGAAGTTCTTCTTAAGAGAAGATTATAATAAATAATTGGTGAGCCATATCTTCCTGAATTTTGCAGGCTTTGTACACATGACAGGTCAACCCATATGGCAGCAAAGTGCCACAATGAAGCACTACAACATCAAGTAGGCTTGAAAAGTGTATTCACTACCCAGGGAAGTGACATTTGAGTCTCTTTTAGTTTTCCAGGGAGGGGATTCTCTATTTTAATGCTTGGTCAATGTACTATTTGTAATGTTTGTATGTGTGTGGGAGGAACTTGGAGTGCCCAGAGCAAATGTATAAAATATATTGATATAACATTCACAAATATGTTCAGATTGTTCAAAGGACCTGCTATTGAAGTACTTGCAAATATGAAAATGGATGTGTGTTTAATGCATGATGTGTCTATACACCAGCCTGAAATTGCATTTGGTCAGGAGTACTGGTGTTTCCACTGTGGTAGCTTGTGGAGCTGGACGTGGATAGTTGTGCGACAAGCACATCACTGCTCAATTTCCCTGTCAGTAAGACTGGGCCATTATTAGAGCAGCCTACAGACCCCAGTGCGAAGTGGTACAAGGTGGCATCAATGCCATTGACACCACTACACCTCACCATTACTTCCCACTGCTAGATCCCACAACTCCTAGCGTCAACACCCACCACCTGTGGTCCACTTTTACAGTTCCCTTTGTCTGGAATGATCTCATTCTTTTGTCATTCCAATGCCTGTCTCAGTGACCTGTACCTTTGCATTTTACACAAGTGCCTTACCCATTGCAGTATTCTCAGCATTCTCTCAAGCATCTATATTTTTTCCACTGATATTCTTTTCGCAACCGACAAGTTGCTTACCCGATGCTGCCGTCAAATTCCTAGCAATTCACAATCACCGCTGCTTAAAGGCCAGAGTCACCTGTACTGGTTAGCATAAGTCATGAAGGCGCTGTTGGAACTTAGCCAATTCCCTGTGCTTGGTTTAGAGATAAGGAGAGGGTTTGGGGTGGGTGGATGTGTTGCTTGCCAAGAGGTGGGTTTATGGCCCTGCTTGCTCATGCTTAGGAATATTGCATGGCCGCATGCTGAGATAACCAGCGTGGCAGTCACTGGCTGCCCAATGCAGGTTCATTTCCAAACCTTGATGCAATTCGTATCCAAACCTGGTCCGGTCCTATGTTGGGATGAATCGGCTCAAAATGAGCGTATGGTGCGATGTGGTCAATGTCTGTATATGGGATCAACTGTGTGCGTTGTCCTAGTGTTAATAGGTACTTGCAACCAGTATTTTCCCTTACGGGCTATGTTCATTGCATACATTATCTGTTGACATCCACGGTTTTAAAGAAACAGTTTGAATTTGGAATGTGTTTAATCTCTTTATTGTAAGATGCTGTGGTGTATGTTTTTGTCTTTATTTGTGTGAGGATCGTGGGATTTTTTGTATGTTTTTTTGTGAACTGGGAAAATGGCTCTCTCGCGAAACTTAAATTTTCGCAATTCATTTTTACAGCTTTGCATTACCTGGTGGTGGTATTTGATATTTGTGTTGTATCGCTGTGGGCCACTTACAGGAACACACATTTAGTCTGGTGTCAGTACACACTACCACACAAATATGGCTGCGTGTGGTCATGAGTCCACTACCCAAAGTATTCCCAATTTGACGTCTTTGCTTACAGCACTTGACACTGGCTACCATTTGTATCGAGCTTTAAAAAGGGGAACTTTTCTAATTCGGTTTTTCTGCATATGTATCTGGTGTACTGTTTAGAGCACTCTTCTTTGAACATGGTGACCAGAGTTACGTTACTGGGCATATATAATAATTACATTTGTAAAGTGCATTTCACCCATAATCCCAATGCACCAGATGTCAGTGGCAAGTAGGTATCTACCATTCCTGGATCTCGCCGAGTTGACTTGGCCTTAAATGAGTACCTGGTGTAGTATGTAATCATCAGCACTGTGAATACAAAGCAGCCAGCCCCTATGATCTACAAGGCTATATATATATGTGTGGTGTTTGTGTGTGCGCGTGCAGATTATTGACTTCCTACGGAAGAGGGACGACTTTGTGGGTCTGCTACTCAAGCACATTGGCACATCGGCCATTATGGACCTGCTGTTCCGCCTGCTCACGTGTGTTGATCCCCCCAAGCTCAAGCAGGACGTGCTCAACGTGAGTGAAGAATCTGTGTACCTGGTAGCGGTTGAACTATTGTAAAGTGTCTTCCTTGCTCATACAAGCAACCGGTTGGCTCTAAGCAGCCGATGGAGCAAATTCCATATTCGTATGGTGCAGGCCATTCTCTCCGTTGCCTTTCCACAAAGTGATAGGACTCATTTTATCGACCCTCTAGGGATGATTGAATCATTCGACTCCCGAACGTGAATTGAAGACCTTTCTTTCTGATTGTGAGTTTGGCCCTGTAACCTCGGCATCTGTTTTTCATGGTATTATAACGGTCACTAAACATTATAGCAGGCTGTAAATAGTTCATCACAATGCCTGTTTGCCTCATCTAGCATTCTTAGTGGTTAGGAATGTTTGCAGTGCTGTTAATGTGACAAACTTGTGCAGGGGAAATGCGGTCACTAACGTAGGCAACCCTTAAGTGTACGTCATATAAGAACAGTTGTGGTCGAGGGAATTGTGCTGTAAGTTGGTATCGCCTTCTGCATTATGTATTTGCCAATGTTGTTTCCCAAGTGGGCGTTAATTCCATAGGTTTTCTCTTAAGGTCATGTCCCAATGCAGCTCCACAGCTTGTGGGGAAGGACTACATTTTCTGCCTGTTTAGCCAATTTGCAAATAAATTTCCCCTTTAGTGGCTCAACTAGTATGTGTTTACTTAGATTGAGTTATATACAGATTGCATATGTTTTGCAAAGGCTAAATGCTGTTTGTGTTTCAAAGAAGGCCTCACCCAAAATTTAAATAGCTCTTCTTGATATGTAGCTAGACTACTGTGTACCAGGCTTTGTGAAACGAGTTTTCAGCTTCATTGATTAAACAAAAACAAGTAAACCCGTAAAAACTAAGTTTTTCACTATAAATCCTTTATATGCGTGGCGGCGAACTTAATATAAAGGATTTAAAAATATATTCGCCTGTGGAGGACGCGGGGATCAATCCCCGCTACCTTTGGCATGGGAAGCGAGGGCGCTACCAACTGCGCTACTCCGCCACGGCCTGTGGAGCGGTTACGCTCTGGGCTCTTACACTCTGACGTTCATCCAAAGCCATGAATGCGTTCTATTTGAATATATGTAAAATACATTTTTTTTGCCTAAAAAGTGTCAAATTTTGGGAATTTTTTTTCACAAACAATAATTGTCTGGCACAACGAGTCTGTGTGGAAAATGTCAGCTCGATTGGATCACGGGAAGTGGGTTAAAAAACGACCGAAAGATTTGCACGGTCCTAAGCAAGCAAGCACGCGAACTTAATATAAAGGATTTAAAAAGAGACTTCACTTCTGGGCACGTTTCCCTGATGGTCACGGCAGGATCTGTTTGCGTACAGCCCTTTTGTCAATCTACTGCTGGGTAATTTGGTTGTCACAAAAAGTATTTTGAACAGCTTGGGAATTGTTTTGTGAGAGCGAAAAAGACCCCAGCTGGGCCCAAAAGTGAGAGGGCCAGGAGGTATGCAGTCAACAATGCTTGACTCAGGGAGGAGGATGCCCCTGCCATGCATAGTCCCATGGGATGTTGGCTATCAACAACAAGGCAACTCCTATGGCTAATTGGGAATGGGACGCAAGCGTAGGATTGATCACCCTGTCGCTGGCCGCCTTTGGGGAGGGTGTATAGTATGAAAGGCCGAAACACCCTAGGGGACTCAAAGGTTCACTGCTGACGATGCGCTCCCCAAATTTCACCAGGCTCACTGTTCATGAACTCTTGGAAGTGCTTGCACAAAGGATAGTAACATCTCATCCTGTGTTCTTTGGAATCTAAAAATTTGGTTTCCTTCCTTTTATGGACTTTAAATGTTCAGTATAACTGCTAAATATCGATGTAACTGATGTTCTTACGGCAGCTCTTTCGAGTATCCAATTGGTTTACTGCTCTGCCCATTTTAGTGTTTCCCTTGAAATCTCGCCAGGTGGCACTGTTGGTAGAATTATTGATCCGCACCGCAGTTGGAATGTTGTGAATTCAACTCCCTTTAGGGGGTGTGTCAGCTCGCCTCTCCTCCAAGCCTGCTAATACCTATCACTTTGTGGGAAGTCAACTGTTTTCTCTAGGGAGAGACTGGCTCAAACCATGGAAATGCACAACTCCCAGAGACCAGTAAAGATGAACACGTTGATGGAACACATTGATGTGATAACTTACAATCATAATAAAAATAACATGTTGACATAATAATTGACATGTACTCTTTAGAATATATTAATGTGTATTGATGTTTTATTTGTGTTGGCAGTGGCTGAATGAACAGAGGTTGATTCAGAGGCTAATTGAGCTGATTCACCCTTCTCAGGATGAAGATGTGAGTACAGCTATCACTTGCCTCAAACATTTAATAAAATGTTTTAAAAACGTTTCCCCACCATGTCATGCCACCCTCGCCAATGCCATACCAGCACTCTCACCTGTACCCCTTGTCCATTGACAGCTGTGCACTGTACCAACTGAGTGGCCATATATATGCACACACCACACTTACTGGTTCAGTTTTAGGTCTGTATGCTTGGCTAATACTATAATATATTCACAGGGGCTGTATATTTAGCTGTATAAATTCTGTATATCGTTTATTTTTTATGAGATCTGGAATACACTTAATTTGAGTCAGAGTTCAGTTGTTGAATTGGTGGGAGTGCTGGTAACGTTTTGTTGAAAATTAGTTACGAAAAACGACTTGCTTTTCAAAACGTGAGTGACATGTCTTTCCTTCATATCCTATTTTTCTGTGGCCGTATCTCCTGATCACTCCTTTGCCCTCTCTCGATACTTCTCTTAATATTGGAAATGCTACTACTCACAATCAGTATTGTTTCTGCCAATTCAGGTGATTGTTCATCATAAGTTGTATTTGTTTTTTTCAACCCCCCACCCCCTCCAGAGACATTCAAATGCGTCTCAGTCACTGTGTGACATCATCCGGTTGAGCCGGGAGCAGATTAGCCAGGTGCAGGAGAACCCAGAGCCAGACCCCCTGCTCACAACCCTGGAGAAGTGCGTGCACGCTTATACCTTCATAACTTCCACAACGTTACTCTACAAATGTCTGAACACTGGAGGTTACGCACTGTCATATAGTGCACTTGCGCAGACATATAAACACAACCGCATATACATGCGCATCTACACATACATGGATATATACTCTACAAATCAAATCGCCCAGAATGTGCTCTATCTCATCAGAATTTAGAAGCTAAGCAAACTTGAGCCTGCATACTGCTTAGACGGGTGACCACCATGCAATAAACGGGTGTTATGGGCCGCTATGGGGTTACGTTGTGGGCAGCAGAGAGCAGTGCATAAAAATCGGCATGCTCCTTGCATTTTTCCACCCGCACATGTGTGATTATTTCTGATCAAATCAACCCCATAAACTGTGTATGTCGGGAGGCCCTCATTTAGCAGTGGATTGGCAAGGGCTGTAATTTCCATTAAATATGTCATCACATTACACACACTACACTGACATATCACTGACATACCACAGCCACAAACTATAGGGTCCAGTACTGTTAAGCAGTCATTATGTTGAGTGCAGCACATCCAAAGATGTGGTCAACATGTCCCAGTGCTGATGCTAACTAATTGCACCAGGTGTTGTTTTGTATATGCATTGCTTGGATCGTTGTGGAGTGTTAATTATTGATGTGAGACCAGTTTTAAACTTAATACGCACAACTCACACGCATTCTTCAGTGAAAGATACTCGTAACCAGCCTGAATTGTGTCGTTATGAATATCATACAATTATAATTTCTCTTCACTCTAACGTTAATTATTGTGTCTGTGCTTGTAGTAGTCTTTCTTATGATGTTCTGTAGTTGCTGTGCTGCTGTAGAGATGGGTTGCTTTTGGAGTTTTATATTTTTCCTGTAGTAAACTGAATGGGTAGCTGTCAGCATATTTGTGATCCATTCCTCTCTCAGATATTCCTCACCGGCCCGCACTGACCAGTATGGTCTAAAAGTTCTCCTGACCGACAAACTAAAATCTGGATCCACTAGTTATGCCATCGACTGGGAAGGAGCACGGGGTACTAAGAATCAATGGTGCGAACAGGTTCCCTTCTGGATTTAACAGGTGCTACGTTCAATATATGGACTCCCTCGTAGAACTGGAGGAAGAATTGAGTGAAATAAATTGGAACATAGTTGGACTCGGTGAGGTGAGAAGAAAAGTAGATAACTCCATACATTGAAATATGTTTTTTATTTCTACATTTTAGAAGTGGCAACCCTTTTCTATACCAGAGAGTTTTAGGATTCAATAGTATAGGTGGCATTCCTGGAAACTCCATCGTACGTCGGATCCTTTTTTTTCCATAGAACCAGAAACATCACTTGGCAATGTGTGTTTCCTTTTATCAGCCATATTTAACAGGGTTTAATAGGTAAACATCTACAAAACACTCGAATAATAAAATGTTTATGCGAAGTCACATCGGAAACCAGACTGTTCAAACGCATTCAGAGTCATGTCGGAAAGATGCGTCGTAAGTCAAGTTTCTGCGTCGTAAATCGATCCATGGTGGCATTGTATCAACGCAAATGTGGATTATCGTAAATCGGAGACCGCCAGTACTTAGGATGAAGTTGTCCATTTGAGACGTCATATTCGCTTTTAAGGAGAGTAATTTGGCTTGCGCAGTACACATCGAACAATGGCAGACAAAGGAGATAGTGCACCCGAGAGAATAACCTCCATGAAGATGGAGGGATGAAATCGGTCGTGTAGGGGCATTGTATTGAAGGGCTGTGATGGATGTCATATGCGTATGCTTTCATCCAGCAGTCGATACACCAAAACTGAAGATTATTTGTGACGAAAATCATGTTATGCGCATCACGGGTATCATGCAAGCCTATAGCTGTCACCTGTTTAGACTAAATTTCCATACCATTAAATGAAAAGGTAGCATTTTTATGTAATTTTCATAAGTCGTAAGTAATGGATGATTGGATGTATATGTATCGCAAGCGTAACAATCATTATAAAGAAATTAATCTTCACACAGTTCTCTCGTAAGGTTTAAATTTCCAACGTTTTGTTTAAACCCTGCTCATACTCCGCCTGTCCACACGTTTCTGCCAGCAGGCTTCGTTGCTGCCGGTTTAACCGCTTGCGCCTGTGAACTCTGCAGGGAAGAGACCATAGAGCAGCTTGTGAGCAACATGTTTGATGGTGAGAAAAACGAGTCTGCCCTGGTGAATGGAATCCAGGTGCTCCTCACCCTGCTGGAGACAAAGCGCCCAACGTAAGTGAGCATGCTGCTGCTGCTGCTGTGCACAAAAGTGATGTCGTCTTCAATCAGAATTGTTCTCAGGGCTTGGAGGTTACAGTCAGTAATGAGTGTATTGATGTGCATGACACATCCATGGATGAAAATAGGGGCGTAATAGGATTGGGACTGGAGTAGGGGTTCAGGTTATAGATTTGTTGCAGAATTATTTCTCGGTGATGTTTTGTACCAACAAATGTCACACGTTAGTTGTCTGCATGTGCCCAGAGGTTCCAACAGATACCAGCTTTGTGAAGGATAGTCTATTGCACTCAATGCCATTACATTGCAATTGAGACTTACATATTACAGTATAAATACATTGTTATGTTACGGTTGGCAACATGTTACTGTATTTTATGGCTTCGAGTTCTATTTTGGGAAAAGAACAGGTAATATTTTCATTGCATGTATAAATATATCTTGATTAACACGTATTTTTAACTGGTCAGGTATTGCTGTGGTCATAGTTGACTCTCAACAGGAAGCTTTTAAATTTAAAATCCTGATTGGTTTGACCCCTTTTGGTTTGATAAAATTAGTACCACTTGGTGGGAAGTCAGCAGTTATCAATCTATTGAGTGACGAGCTTCTGTCATATAAACGTGGAATTTCGACAGCTGATTCAGGATTGTAAACAAATATATATTGTCTCATGCGTTTGATCAGAAAGACACTGACCTTGAATTATTCACAATGCCGCATTGCCAGTATTTTCTTGATGATTTATTAACGGCCAAGTAAAAGTGTGCGTCTGCTCATCTCTGCATTGGGGCAGTGTACTCATCTCTGCATTCACATGTACATGACAATATCTCCATAAGAGAGGCAATCGCGAATTTACAATATTTTTAATGTTTTTCAACTTCCGAGTGTTAAGAGGCTGAGCGAAACCTTAATGAAAATGTGTTATCGCAACTGTCATTGGAACACCTTCCCCACGGTACCATTCAGTTGTTTTGTCATTGCGAGCAACTCATTTACAAATGAATGCAAGTAAGTAAGGAATGAACGAGCGAACCGCTGTTTCTTCCCTGGCATGCGGTGTCGTGCTCCGGTTGTTGTGTAGGCTCGAGGGACAGCTGGACCTGTTCCCACAGACCACCGAGCGACCGCCGGTGGCCGTGAGTGGTAGCACATTGCAGGGCATCAAGGCACGGTTAAAAGACTTCCACGCCTTATTGCTCGAGCCCCCAAAGGTACTCCCTGGTGTTCATCAAAAGGACCCACAAAGGCATCTGTTTCACGAAGTTGTTTGATGTATTTTTTTCATTTGATGCTCAGTTAAATTATTAGGGGTTTCCAACTGAGAGAACAGCTGTTACTCGTGTAGCTGTTGTGTATGTGTTCAGAGCAGGGGAGCAGTAGTGTAGCGGTCTGCGTGCTGCGCTACGAACTCGGCGACCCGAGTTCGATTCCCGCTCATGGCTAACATCGGTGACGATTACCTGAACCGGTCCTGGGCCTCCCCTATGTTGAATCGGCCTCAAATGAGGACCTGGTGTGGTGTGTTAACATCGCCACTTGGGAAACAAAGGCAGGCGGGTGTGGTGCTGGCCACCCACCCCCTCGCGTGCTGTGCCAGCCTTCATAGGTGCTCGCAAACAGCACTTGCCCTAATGGTCTGTTGAAGGCTATTATGGGGATTTTTTTTATTCGTGTTTTTGTCTTAATCTAAATAAATGTGTTTGTATTTTTTCTCTTTCTGGGTTTCCTCATATATTGCCTGCATAAAACAGCTTGATAGCTGCATAGTCTTTCGTTGCACCCAGATCTACGAGTTGATCATGCTATCCTGTCTCTTTCCTTGCAAAATGTGCATTCGCTGATTTTTTTTTATTTATGGCAAGCCCAAGCAGCTCTTGGGTAATTATAGGGGACTCAATGGAGATGGAATGGGCTAGAAAAAGATGTATGTTGATGTGGGATATGGAGGACCTGAAGCGAAGGAGACTTATTGATGATTGATATCTGTGGTATCAAGATTTACGTTTTTGTGGAGGGGCTTGTAAACACCCTTATGGTGGCTTGTGGTATTCACCCTCAAGTAACAAAGGGAGGCAGAAGTACACTAAATTGAGCAGTGTGCCAGGCAGCTAAAACGTACCAATTTGTAACTTTGGAGGATTATGGCTTGTGCATATGCCAGTCATACAAGCCAGTTAGCCTTTAATATCTGGGTTTTTAACTTTGACCTCCTGCCACTGATAATTTTTGAATTTGTGTCCTTAAGTGCACCTGTCCTAGGCACAAGTACCGATGGTGTACTTATTGCTGCTTCGTGGCAAATGACATTTTGCCTGTAACGCTGTGCCTTTCCATATGTCTATGTATGTATGTGGCGATATAGATATTAGAGTATAGTCCATCCTGAAGGACAGTAACTCCTCCCTGTTTGTTCCTCCCTACCCAGCACATCTGCCTCTAACCAAAACGTTTGCCTCAGAACACATCATTTTCATTTACCTACCCAACATTTCCACCTTACTACATAACTTGTCCACCTATCCAAGCCACCATGTTTGCCTCCTTACCCACATCAGTCTCCCTACCCCACCCACCACTGCCATTTCTCTTGTGATAATTTTCACCCCTCTACCAAAACTTGCCCACCTGCCCACCAAATATTCAGCTCCTTGCCCAAAATATTGGCAACCCTACTCAACATTCCTGCCACCATACTTGGCGTGTCCAACCTCTGTGCTCAACAAGTCCACCTACCTACTTGCCCCGTAAACCTCCATATCGTAGATGACCACCTCTTTAACATTTTTGTAAACGAGATTTATTCCTTTTTAGTTCAAGAGGCATTTTTACGTGTGTCTTTTTTGTGGATCATACAGTGTATGCCTGTGGTATTGTATTCTGTGGGGAGTGGTAGTGCAGCGGTTAGCGTGCTGCTGCGATGAACCCGGCAACACGAGTTTGATTCCCATTCACGGCCAACACCAGTGACGATTATCTGAACCAGTCCTGGGTCTCTACTCGGTCGTCTCGGCCTCAAATGAGCACCCAGTGCGGTGTGGTGCTGACCACTCGCCCCTTCGTGTGCCATGCCGGCCTTCATCGGTGCTCGCTAACAGCACTTGCCCCAACAGTCTTATAAGGTAATATGGGGGATCTTTGTCTTTGCAGAAGAATGCCATGACTACAACAATAGGGGTGCTGGAGCCCCCACTGGGGAACACGCGGCTGCACGTGGCCAAGCTCGTGTCGGCCGTGCTGCAAACCAACACACAAGCACTTAATCAGCAGCTCATGCAGCTCGACACCATCGCTGTGCTGCTGGTGAGCGTTCCTTCACCCATCCCCCCAACCCATGCCTCCATGAATAATTAGCTTTGCTCATGTAACTACTTATTATGGTCTCCCCATGCGATTCGCATCACTTGTTGGATACCCTTCACCAGACACCCCTCCACTCACTATGCACCACACACTTAGTGATGACAGACTGACATTGGGGAATATAAAATATACCTTTCAACATTTTTTTACTTCACAAAAACTGCTGCCCTGTGGAAACATTAAATTTACCATTTTTAATGTGTCCTTTATGCCACTGGCCTTGCATGCTCAACCTGAGTGTGGTGATTGGTCTGATGTTTGGCAGGAAATTCGAATTTCGCCAATAAGGGGGAATGTGGTGCAGATCATACAACCTTCATCATTGGTCGTGGACCTCTACCACAGCTCCCCCTAGTGTAGTTAACATAAGTCTGAGACCCAGTTGTGATATTTTCATGGGTCATTCTCTCACTGAGCTGGCACCATTTAATATTGAGTTGATATAGGGGAGGTCCAAGGAAAGTTTGAATACTACTTGGCATTTATATTATCTATGGTCAGGAAGCAAACACAGGTTATTAGGTTGATGAAACAGTGCTCGCCACTGCGCCACTGCTCCCACAAAAGACATGCAAGCACATAAACGTGCAAAACACAAGCTCACAAAACACTTTTAACACACAAAGTAACGCCCTCTCCATGTGACAATGCAATAGCTCTCTCCGGGGTTGTGCACAGGACCTTTACTTCACGTACGTATGGAACAACTTCTTGCACTTACAAGTGGAGCAGGCGGTCACCACAATCCTCAACAACCCCCCCAGCACAGAGGAGAGCGACGATCCTGGGACAGAGGACGGAGTGGACGTCAGGAGGGAAAACGCCTCGGTAAAAAGTGTATGTATCTATTTCTCTGCGCTGACGAACCCCCAGCATCGATGCAGCCTTCATATGTTTAAGCAAACACCTGGCCACATGGTAACAGAACCCAATAAATTAGCTGGTAAGCATTTCATCATGAATGATATTGCTGTCTTCCTGCAATCATCGTCATGTGGCAAGTAGGGTTCTTGTGTAGGGTTATGGGATCTTGAGTAGAATACAATTATGACATTTAGCTGATTGTCCACTAGGAACAATGGCAGCCATAACTTATGCAAATCCACCATACACTTTCACCTATAATGCTCTTGACAGTCATTCTGAAAGTCATTCCAATTGGACCATGTATTTTTTTTTATCTTTCCCCACAATTTGATTCCAATTGTGCTATCGGCATCACATTCTCAGATTAAGAATGTATTTGGAACTCTTGGCAGAGTAGTGCATTAACTGTTAGAAAGCGGTCCTAGAAAGGAGATTATGCACGTTGAACTTATTTCGCACCATATGTAGCCAACCGTGCTAATCGGAGCTGCGGAATACCATAGAACTGCTTCTGAAATCTCTTCAAGTGATTGCTTATCCACACTAGGGGGGGGCAGTTGAATTTAATCAAATTAAATGCAAATCAAATTGAATGTATTGGCCATTTGTGAGTGTGCTGAGGCTGTCAACTCACTATACTTGAGGAACCTGATTTAGTCATGGACAGTTGACCAAATTTGAGGACAAGATCTCAGCAGTACCAGCACAATGCTCCAGCACTCTGACCTTTGAGCCACTCAATCGTATAATTCATTTCAGGAGGAGTACAAGCGTGCACACATGTACAAAAGACACCCACACACACATTTTACGTATGTTTAATCGTGACTTGTTCCACCTTTTCTGGTTATTATTAGACTATTTCATACATCGGAGCCCTTTAACATTGAATGTATCTTCAAACTTACTTGCTTCTAATTACTTTTGAAATGTCTTCGTGTCTCCTCAGCTTTTCCAAAGGTGTCAACTTGTACAAAGGATGCTCGGTGCGTGGGAGTCAAACGAAAAAGAACAGTACGTTTTTTTGAGTCCTTTGATGCACAGTTTCATTTTTCGTTGTAACGCTTAAACAATTGCGGAAACATTTTCTGCATTTTGAGATAATGAATTGGCTGCATGCTCTTTGGCTGCCTACATTAAATATAGAATGTTTATTATGTAGCCATCATTGCTAATTGGAGGTGTGGGAAGGACAACAAACTAAACACAAAAATCTAAAATGTAGGCCCTGGTAGGGATTTTTACGACCTAAATCCACGTTTCAATGTGGCGCATTAAAAATTTATTTCCAAAAGTTTATGCAATTTCATGTTATGAGTGTTTCGTGAAAATTCCACATTTTTTGATGGTATCCAGTCTTGGTATATGATAAGCACTATTTACTTCCCACCAAGTGATGCAGCCTCATCAGGCAGTGCCAAGTTAAATAACTCTGCTGTTACTGATAATATATTTGACCCTGGATTGAACCTGGGTCTTATAATGATGGGGAGAGGCCCTGTATTTGGACTGGGTTACTGAGCTGTACGTCTCTGCTACTAAGCGCTAATCAGGTTTTGATTGATCATGGCAGGGAGGAAGGTGGAAGGCGGAGGGGCTACATGGGCCACCTGACCAGGATAGCCAACGCTGTGGTGCAGAGCGCGGAGAAGGGACCCAATGCTCTTCTCATCAAGGAGCTGCTCACAGGTGAGGCTGAACCCATTATGGCTCAAACCAGTTTAGATAAACTTATGCAGAAGCTATCTAATTCATTTTGGACGAATGTCGACTTAACACTGATATCTTACATGTAATATTCAGATTGAATCGATACATATCAGTAAAAATCGCTCTTAGAAGGGATTTAAAAAATTACTGCATGCATGGGGTATGATTCTCAATTTCGTAGGTGGCTGTGTAGGCCTGACATTTTTGCATTGGCCACTCCCAAAATGCAGTGATCTGCCAAGATTAATTGGCACTATGTCATCTTGTGAGTCACACCCGTGGCTTTTAACTGGCTGGTACTTGGCTATGTAACTTGTGAATATACATTTTATTCTAAAACATTAACAGTATGATCTTTATTGTTTCATGTGACAACACTTCATTATTTAACTTTTTCCGAATCCTTTTCTTAAATTAAAGGGTGGTTCTTATTCTGAATAATGGGATGATGTGTTACATAGGGTACAATAAAGTAATTGCAGTTTTGTGAAAACTAAAGGGGGGAAACATAATTAATGTTAAGAAGCTTTTTAGATTTTTTTTTATCCAACATCGATTGCTTGGAAATCATCAGATCTGTCCCAAAACTGTTTTACTTTATAATGTCAATGTAAATTCCTACTCAAATTAGCAAGGTGGTGGATGTGGAGGTTGATCATTGAGTCAGTGGTAGAAATTCCACATTTCCTCGGTGGAAAAATGGGAATAATTGTCACTTAATTGTCACTTAAGACAATGTGTTGAAATAGATTAATGAAAATTAAAACCTAAGAAACTATTTGGCTTGGATTGGGGCATCCACGACAATAACATCCAAGTATGTATTTGAAGTTCCAAATGAAACACACTACGTGTGCAGGTCACATTGGTCTAGTGAAATAGTGACCAATACACCAAACACTGAGCCCATTATAGTGTATCTCAACGGTATCCAAAGCCATGACCCAAAAATTTGCTGGATTTGACTCTGTAATTTGCAATAGACATAAAGCATACTAGCGCCATCTATTGGTGGTTATTGCTTTTTTATGTATGGAATTTTGTATTCTTTGCGTCTTCTGGTAAAGCCACATAGATAGAAAAAAAATATACAAATAATGACAATCCCGACGTTTCGATCGCAACACAAGCAAAGCTATCACCCCAACCGTTGGGAAAGAACCATCTGAGGACCCAATCAAAACCTTCACCTTTGCCATACATAGCATGGTTCACCAAAAAGATTTCCAAAATCATGAGCAAACACAAGATTTAACACAGTACATAAAATTCGTGATCTGATCCCTTCTGTGAAGGATGTGATCCCTGACCTGCAATACCCCAGTGTCTACAAACTAAGCTGTGTTTGCGCAATAGTTACATTGGGTAGACTAAGCGACATGTCTCGGACTGGGTTCGTGAACATAAGGCAGATCTGAAACACGGTAGGACCAATACCTCAGCCGTAGCTGATCATTATTTTAACGAGGTGGGCACACACGAAATAGATTTTGCCAAGACGAAGGTACTCTGCAAGCCCACTGGGTATCAGCAAAGATTCGTTCATGAAGCCATCCAGATATATAAACACACACACAATTTCAACTGAGAAGATGGGTACAAACTGAGCAATCATTGGCAGGACTTTATTAACCAGTTTAGGTCATAACTGGCTGTAATGTTCCCTTCCTACCTACCCATGTTAGCAGTTATTTTCGACTCTAAGTTACATTCACTAACGCAGCCATCATTAGCTGTGTTAGTAAATGGCGGCTTGCTATCCTTTTCCACCTCCATGTGGCGATAGTTCTTTCCGAGCTCTCTCCGAGCTTACCTTTACAAGCATCTCTAAACCTTTGTAAACAGCTCTTTGATTGGGGTAGACCTATTGCCGGGTACGGAGACCTCTCCTACATTAACATTAGCTGCCCCGCCCATCTCTAAACCTTTATATACAGCTCTTTGATTGGTGTATACCTACTGCAGGTTACGGAGACCTCTCCTACATTAACATTAGCTGTCCCGCTCATCTATAAACCTTTATAAACAGCTTGCATCAGCAGCTTTCTCCCTCTTTTTTCACCTGATGACGATTGCTTGTGTTGTGATTGAAACGTCATGGTATTGTTTATATTGGTATTATTTTTTTCTATCTACGTGGCTTTACCGAAAAACCCAAAGAATATGAATTTCTGCATTCGCAAAAGTTTTAAGTCAAGATTTATTAAATTTAGTCGGGTTTTTTTTTTCTTCAGTCATAATGAAAATGTTTGTATGCTTAGGTTGTTGTTGGTTCTGATTTGTCCTGAGATCCACAAACATATTTTGTAATCCACCTATGGATCGAGATCCACGTATCGGCTACAGCTGATCAAGCGGGTCGTTGTTGTCAGAAATGTTCTTACATTTGCACCAGTAGCGTACGTTTCCTGACACGCCTCTTCTCCATATTCCTGGCGCAGAGCTTCCAGACGACTACAGGGAGCGGTGGGACGTGTTTGTGGGCAGCGCACTGGTGGACATCAACAAAAAGAACACAGTAGATTTGGTGAGGAGCCTCGTAAGTTGTGCGAATTATTGTTCCTATATTATTTTTCCCCCCTCAACGCTTCTGCCAAGCTTTAACCTTTGCTTTCCTTAATCTTCCTGGAGTGTGGTTATTCAACTGAAAAAATAAGTCTCTGCAGAGAGTAATTTGGAGTGAAAGCCACGTTGATCTTTGACAATTGATGGCTTTAACGTCGGAAACAAGCTGTGTTCATCCATGGAAATTGTCAAGGTGTACTTGTAATCTCGTCACTTGGTGAGTGTTACACAAAAAGCACCATTTTATGTTTTGCCTGTTGTAAAATGAGTCTTGTAAATGTATTTTTCCACAATTGTCACTTTCAAAATCCAGGTAATTTATCTTTACTTGGTGCACACTTAGAGGGTGTAAGAGTCCAGTGACATCTTGTGGACCCCTCTGATTGGTGATGACTTAGAATTCGCTGGCCAAGGGAGTTCTTGGATTTGATATTGGTGGATCACGTAAGGGGACCCTTGATGTGAGTGAGACACCAGCCAAACGGAAATTAGCTCATTGTAGATGGTGTTTTGAGTTTTCCTCCTTTCACGGATTTATCTAGTTATTCCAGTTGATACAAGTTAAACATATTTTTTTAAGATATCGGCCAGACATCTCATGTCGAGGTTTTGAGACTCGAGAGGCTTTCTTGGCTAAATAATCGATTTGTTTGCATTTTTAAAATTTGGAATTGCACCTTGTGTAAAACTCAATTGTTACTTCATCATCTGCTTTTTTTATCAGCAGGGTTCAATATTAACAGCTGCCGTCTATCGCTGGCAAAACCTGTGCTGCATTATGTTGATTGTAGCCATGCAACAATTCATCCTGATACCATGATTAAATAAATTGTCATGATTCAGGGTTATTATTCGATACCAAAATTTATTCCTGTTCGTCTTGTTTGTAATATTCATCTCCTATGTTTATTCTATTAGCCTAAAGGTAACATGGCTTAATTTGCATACTTTAATTTCCATAATCGATTAAGCACGTTAGTCTGTGCTCCATCGTGAGGGCGAGGATATTTGTGCTTCATGAATTGTTACATACTGACATGAATTCAACGATGCCCTTGCTTTTTGGAGAATCGTTTTTACTTTCGACGTAAGTGGTACTTATCATAAAGGTACGAGCCGTTTTTTGGTCTGCATCCTACAGCAAACAATGCCCTTAATAGAGGTTTTCTAGGGTTAGATTGTGTAAATATAAATGTGTCGTTAAACCCGCCACCACCCAACACAGCCAATTAGTAAGGTTTGACGTAAACAGAACATGCCAATTACTTGCTAGTTCAGCACACCGTTGTTTTGGAGAATAACCCCACAACATTTACAATTCGAGTATGACGTTTCACCGGTAATTACAACCAGCCTCATCATTATGGATAATATGGGTTGTGAGTATTGGACGCTAAAGCCAAACAAAGCCCAAGTTACTTGACATTGTTGAACAGGTAAGTGATTCGGGGCTGAGCCTTGCTACATTGACGTTCATCAAAAGTTTGCTTCCAGCTCCAAGCTGACCGCGATCGTGCCTTTTTGGCATTTTATTGTGGGGTTGCTTCTCTGTTGACACTGCGGCTGTGTGACTGCGGGTGTCGGCGGCGCAGGTGAGCCCCTACAACCAGCACTCGTCGAGCGAGGATGACGATGCAGACATCAAGGACATCGGATTCCCCCCGGATGCCTCCCTGCAGCAGGTATACGCGTCCGACCGGCAGGCAGCATCGCGCCACGCAGCCAGCAAACAATGCAGCACCGGCATTTAGCTCGCGAACGTTGTTTGTCATCATTATCAGCCCACATGGATGGTCATTACCTTGGTCATTATGGTTGTCATCACTTCGATCGCCACACCATTATCATGTTCACCGCAGTTGAATCCATTATTATTATTACCGCCATTGTCATAATCATAATTTATAATTTCCATTCGCATTGTTATTATCATCGTCATAATTTTGGCCACAAATCATCATTATAAAGCGAATAATTGTTAAACTAAATATAATTGTTACTCACTGTAATTGTCACACTTTGATTAATTTGTATTGCTCTCAAATGGCCGTTCCACATTGTTGTTACCATCCTTATGGTAACCATCATTACCATCAACATACTTATGTTACCATCATTGTGTTCTATTTTTGTTAGAATAGTTATTGCTATAATCATAATCTGGCCTTTCAATCATTGGTAGTGTTTTCACCATTGTCACAATCATAAATTTGATTGTTTAGTGTAGACATCACTCAATGTCATCTCCCATCAGCATGATTACTGTATTTTCATTAATCATCAGCCATTCATATTTAATTTTACCAGTTGCCAGAACAATGTCTCATAGCACCACAGCACACATCACAACATCACATATTTTTATGAGTATTGCTGTTGGTACAAACTGAGAACACCTCTTGTCATCGTCATTAACACTGTTTTATAACAAAAACAATATTCTGATGTATATTCTTAGTAAACAAGAAATATTTTGATTTTAAATTACGCTTGAAGGAATGCAATGAAGAAACAGGCATTTGGTTAAAAATTTTGGTGTTTTTGGTTCAGCTTGTTTTAGCATATTTTCAGCTTCGCTCTTCGGCAACATCCGAATTGATTTGGTGGCATTTATTTTTGAGCGATTTGGGGCATCTTTGAATGAGACAATATGCTTTCTTTTAGACACTTGCGAAAATGTATGGATTTCATCTGATACTTTGTTTTCTCGCTATGAAGCCAATTCACAGGTGAAAGTAGTGTATCTGCATGCCGACAGTGTTTATGCACATACATTGAGGCCGAAAAGTAAAGCTCACCGTGTGACAAGTAACATCATGGCATAGTCAAGTGGCCTGTTCCACCAGTCATGTAATAGCACGTTGGAAAAATTATGCCATTTCGCCGGCTGGCAAAATCCAACATTGCCCGCTTGCTTTTTGCATTTGTTTACGAGCGCGCTTTGTTTTGCATTTTTCAAAAGCAACCCTTTTTGTGTTGTTTTCTTTTTTCTTCTGTTGTTGTTTGTTGCCGTTGGCCTTTTTCTTTCTTAAATCTGGCCGTCGCTCATTTGTCGGGCGATGCCAGGCCTTCTCTGATTATCAGATGCAACAAATGACGTCCAATTTTGTTGACCAGTTTGGCTTCAGTGATGAGGAGTTCGCCGAGCAGGAAGACAATGTGAAGTAAGTGGCTTCTCGCGTCCTGCTTGCCGCTCCGGAGTTAATATTACGTGGTGTCACGGGGCAATGGAACGTAGTGGGAACGCTAGTTAAATCTATTTGTAGCACAAAGTTAAAGCAAAGAGCACTTAACTCGGATCCCTAACCCTGCAGAAAATTATTAAAAATGCACAATGCTCTTCATGATATTGAGCTGGGCGGTGCTAGAGTTAAAACACTCGACTCATAATCATAATTTCCCAGTTGAGGTTAGACTAAGTTTATTATGCCTCTGGGGTCTAAAAATGAGTACCACTCTTGTGAGAAATCAAGTGGTGGAAGTGCTGTTTAAGTATTGTTCATTATTGTCTAGGGGTCGTCTCATTTTGGACGTGTGTCGGAGTGTGGCTTTATTTACACATTTAAATAAAATACAATTGTACAATCAGTTAATAACAACACATTGTGGTCTCTCTGGGTCAGGACATTGTCTGATATTGGTTTATATTCAATCAACATTGGTCATTCTGGTTGGAGATTGATTGGAATTTTCACTGTCATTTAATAGCCATTGACAGATGACCCCCACCTCATTGCTATTTTGATTCAGGAGAAAACTGACCTTTATTTATTTGCATTACCAATTGGTGTTTGTCAGGATGAGACAAAGTATGCACTAGTGTTTAACATGGCACGTGAAAAAGGACGACCTGACCCATTTAATTATTACATTTACTGTTCTGGAATATGCTTGTAATATAATCATTTAAAGATGTATTTTTTAGATGCAGTGTTGGCCTATACATTTTAAATCAGTGTTTAATATCGAAAACAGTGTATTCCATTCACTTGTGGTTTTATTGTAATATTAGCTGGTGCTCCAAGTATACATCTACAAACCCACGTGCACATTTTTCTAAAAGTGTTGTTATACATAAGGTAAAGTATGGAAGCACGCATGTTAGAAGGCTGATGTGAAACTATTTCAATTTTGCTTGCTGCGCGTAATTTTTATTTATCTTCCGCTTGTCTGTTTCAGCGCTTCCTTTGATAGAGTATCTGAAATAAATTTTGCCATGAATGCAAACGACGAAAGCGTAAGTAACTCGCTCACGGGACACGCTGCCCCTATGCCCTTAGCGAATCCAGTTGAACACGATGACTGAATGCCACCGCCTTTTCTCGTTCAAGAAGCATCTCGTGTCAAAACATGCCCATCTTATAACGTGAAGTTAATTTAGACTTGGTGTTTTGTCCGACTGATCAGGCGAAATCTCGCACTGTTCCTTTTCACATGTGAGGCCCCATTATTTTATAATGGGTAAGTAATGCAAATTATGCCCTTGCCATGTATGTTCTCTATCGTTCAGCTTTAGGAACCAAAGGTAAATTTTTCATAATCTGTGGTATATGCTCTTTCAGGAATCAATATTAACATCACTTTTATTGGTAAAAATAACTTTATAGATCTCTTTCCTTGAGTAGGCTACATTGAAGGAATTCATCACTTGAGGAATAGTGCATTATACCTGTTCCCATTTGCAGTGCTGTAAATGCTTTAAGTAATGCAGAAAGGTGACAAAAGGAATAGTGCTTAACTCCTAATCAGTGATCCTGTGATAAACACGTGGTGATGGTGCAGCCCTGCAATCGCTTGCACATGCCAATGCTGGCAGAGGTCTCTGTTATGTCTGTGTGTATGTTGAACTTCTTGTGCACCGTACGCAGCCAACTGTGCTAATTGGAGGTGGTTGAGGGTCCACCCTGCACTCGATAGAATGAGCACAACTTTGTGGGAAGTCAATATTGGTCATCATATGTAGATGGTGGACCTTCCCATGGGAAAGTGGAATTTTCATCCCTGGCTCATTGCCACCAATGATGAGTTCTGCCCCAAGCTTTCTGGAGTAGGGAAACATTTTGTCCTTGTTGAAAATAAATGAATTACTCGCATTTCTCCTATGTAGCTCTGTCTTATCTCTGGGTTTTTTAGGGACGGATTAAACATTGAGTTTCACCAATTCCATCCTTATTTAGTCTTACTGCTAAATATACCATTGGAAATTCCACATTCCCATGGTGGGCGGCACCATCTATTTTTCCCATAGTCCAATTCCTGTGGTCTTTCCACAAATTGGTGCTGCATATTAAGTTGTCCCTGGAAGGATGATTGGCACAGTTCAGACCATGAATCGAGCGCTATGATCACCGATCCATCGGTAGGGAGTAGCCTCAGAAATCCACGAGTGTGGGTGAGGATTTGGGATCGGCATTGAGGGTTGGGAGGAGAGAGCTGTGGTGTGGACTGCGTATGCTCTGTGAGTGCCACGTCCCAATTGTGGGCTGCCCTCTCCCCGTGCTTGTGCCTGCAGCAAAACGCGGCGCTGTTTGAGGCGTGCTGCAATGAGCGCATCCAGCAGTTTGACGACGAGAGTGGCGCGGACGAGGAGGACATCTGGGAGGAGAAGCAGATCACATATGCCACCAACGTCAAAGTCCGGCAGAGGTGACGCAACGTGGACCCTCGCGACGACGGCACACGGCCCCCAAGCTCATGAGCGCTCTTGATTTCTCGGTTGCCACCTGGTTCTCTAATTTATATGCTCCCATTTGCTTGGTTTGATTATCCTAACACCGTCATCAATTACTTTTTTTTCTTAATTTGGAACGGCCGTTTGCTGTTAGAAATAGTTGTTGTGCATATGGCCGTGTGATACACTCTTACTACTTGGTTTATGAGAAACCAGCAGTCCGCACGTCCTTTCCGGCCCTCCAGCCAGCCAGCGGGCAAGCCTTTTTTGTCATATAGTCTGATAATTATTAATAGCACTGTATCAATCCACTGCTCGGTGAAGGATGCAGATGTCCTCGTGCAGATATGCACGAGCACTTGGGAGCATGGCACGAGCCAGAAAGGAATCCACGCAGTTCTTCCAGCCAGAAAACTTTTCCAATATAGTATGAAAGGTTTGTGAAATTACAGCCAAGCACATCATTATGGCAGCCCAATGACCCGCTGCGTCTTTAGTGACCGACTTCTTAATACTTCAGTGCAGTGATGTCACTTGAGATTAAGTTCCTATGTCGATGTTTATTAATTCATTAATTGGAGCTTCATTTGTGTGGGCAACCTGAGACGCACAACATAGTTACATATTTATGGGATAAAGTTGTTAGTTTTTTAGGATATGTCTCTTAACCATTAGGTGATAATTGCTTCTTTGGTAAGAGGGCCATTCTCTTCATAGGATGATATGCAACAAGAAAAAGTGAGCACATCTGCATAATAACAACTTAGCATCTGTTTGGATCGCAAGATTATTATTTAGCGGACTGGGAGAGGGTTTTTTTTCGCATCATGTATATCCTGGAACTGTGTCATTACCAGTAACATGTTGCGTAATTAGCAGGGAAAGCAGGTGAAAGTAATGAAAGAAGTGAAGTTTGCAGGAGACGATTTACACGAGGATGTATTCTGTTATGACTTAAATTACACTGGTCAACACACTTTTTCTGGCATAAGGTATTCCAACGGTTATAAGGTAATGTTGGGGTGCTGATTCCAAATCTGGCATCAGTTTTTGTTTATCACATCAGGTTTTTTGACATATCAAATATTGCATTTTCAATAAAAACTGCAGAAGAAAAATATTAAATAAATGTGGATATCTACATAAAATGATATTATAAACACACTATCCTAAAAATACAGCACCATATTTTAACACTAAAGCAGTCACTGACTCGCAACAACTTGCAATCATAAGTGACGGATTTAATTTCGGGTAAAATCAATGAAAATGGGGTATGCCGATAGCATAAAAATGAGATGTGATAGAGCAAATTTGAGATCAGATATGGAATCAGCACCCTGAAATGAGTCTAAAACAGCTGCAAAAGTATAGGCCAGACATTTTTTTTGTTGACCAGTGTTATTTATTTCCCGGTGATGTCAGTGATTTAGAAAAGTACATAGTTGGTAGAAATGCTTCAGATTTGTCAGGCAAACAAATATTAACAACTTAACTTTGAAAGATAACACGTACTTTGTGGCATAACTGGAAGCAGTCAAGAAATTTAAAATTCTATTTTTTTGCTTGATCTGGATGTAATCTAGGTCTACTGCACTCACCGGTTGGGCAGATGCATATTCCAACAATGTTCAATTTATTGAATGTTTCTATCATCCGTGTATGTTGACAATCATATATGGTACATTGGCAGTGCTTCTGGCAAATTTTGAAATGAAACCTCTGGAGCATTTTTAGTTCGAAACGTGTATTTTGTTTAATACTAATTAACAGCACTGTCTTTGTACTGTTTGCCTTTTGATGTTCTCTGGTCTGACACTGGTGAGCTAAGCTCTAAAGAAGGCTGTCTGTTTGAGGCCAATCGGTTTCAAAGACAATGCATTGATTATCAGAGCATGTTTGTTTGCATGTTCACCACAAAGTACGTGTGGTTAATCCAGACTTGATTCCTTGCAAAAGGTTTCTATTTAGAGTTTGACCATCCTAACTTGCTTTATTGCCAGAAAGGGTGAAACCTATTATTTGTTCATGCTTTGATACTGGCAAAAAGGTCCTATTTTGTGTATTTTGTTGCCTGTTTTTTGGTTCCACGGCGTGCTTTGAAAAATGTAGCTTGCGTACAAAATCATTGCAGGAGCAGAAATTGCTTTATTTGAATCAAGGTTAGCTGTAGGGTAATGGATCAAATCATCTGTTTTGTGTTCTCTGCTCTAATTGCTTTTACCCGGGCCGATGACCACCTTGGCTAGAATTAAAATTCTGCATTAAAGTTCATTCCACAAGCAATGAAATACATTCCTTATTTATTCCAGCGCAGTTTGACTGAATAATCCCAAGGAAGCAGCCTCGGCATGTTGATATTTGTGCCGATTGCCCTGCGACCATGCACAGCACGGATTTCATTGCGAGCAATTGGGAAGCACGCGCTGCAAATGAGTGTGCCAGAACCCAGTGCACGCAGAATGTTTCAGCTCACGGCTATGTTGTTACCAAGGGGGGCAAGTTTCTTGAACGTATCACATGTGCAGACCATGTCTTCAGCATTACAGTTTTTTTTTTCAAGTTACGCATGGTATTTTTGGACGTGGCTTGCAATTTTTTGCCGTCCTTAATTTAAATTTGTGTTAAGTTAGTTTAAGTTACGTCATTTATTACGTGTATTGCCACCACGTAGAAATATTCCGGATTATGGTGCTGGCAACACAATCTCCCACCAATTGCCATGCCAGCTTTAATGGGTGCTCACTAATAGCACTCTCCCCAACACCTCTGTCTAAAGTGGGGGATGGAATCTATTTTGTGTCCTCCACCACCGGGGCCGCTGTCCTACAGACTCCTCCCCCTGTCTTCTATTGATGGTCAGGTTTGGTGTGTTGTATTCGACCAGCAATACGGGCAAAACGTCGGGCGATAGTGGGGGCAGCGAAGAGAGCACAGACTCGGAGGAGGACGTGGAGGAGGAGGACGTGAGCGTCAAGCCCTGCCGCCACTCGGCCAACAACAACAACGCGGAAGACCGAATGGATGTCGACGGTGCTGACGGTGGGTGGTGCTTGCTGCGTTCGATTTGTGTCGATACACAATTATAGCAGTTGGCTGTACAGCTCCAGGGATCTCAATGGGTTGTGTGAAAGCACTTGCACACAACTGGTGAATAATAAGAATAATGTCATGTATGAATAAAATCCTTGATGAGTCATTTTACTTTTTCACAAGGGCCTTGTTTGGACTGTTCCGTTTTTACGAAGTAGTTTGCTTGTGGGATGAAGCTGCAGTACCTATAGAAGATCCACACATACAAGGGGATAACATTCACATTCCACACAGATGGGTTCACGAAACTTAATGGTGTACTGCTATCTTCTAACTACCTAACAGGCAAACAAGTTTGGAAGTCTGACAACCGAAGTGATTTGCTAGCACATTCCTCCAAAGTGCACCACCAAGCTTGGCATGATGCTGGATTAAAGCCCTGTGCCTGCGTGACACTGTCAGGCACTAAGTGAGGTTCTGGGTTCTATCCCTGAAGTTCCTTGATCAATGTATCAGAAGGTTAATATTGATCATATGCACTGAACCAGTTCTCGTATAATCCTATGTTTTAACTCTAAGGCTTCCTATTATACTGGGGAAGCTCATAATGGCTATGAATGAGTCGATGTCACTGAGGTTCCTGGAATTAGCATCTTTCTCGCTCGCTTTCAGAGGAAGCTTATCATCGCTGTTACAGCATTGAGTCTGCATTAATTTGTCACATAAAATGTGAGCATGCAGTTTATCACAGCGGCTCCTAGCACCTGGCTTGTATTGGCAAAGTGCAGCCTCCTAATGCATCTTCAGGACTGCAGCATGGCTTACTTCCATGTTCACCGGTGGAAGAAGGATTCGACGCTTACGTGATTACATAGATTTCCTCTTTCACTTTCGTAGGGTATAGAGGCTGACATTTTTATTACTTTCCAGGTTCTAGAGCTTGATTATGACAAAAGCAGCTAGAAAAGTAACTCTTGGTCTTTGAATACAGTTGCCAAGATGCTTGCAATGTCATTGCCTTAAAGGTTTGAAAGACAACATGGTAGATGTAATCGGGAAGAGGATGGAGGGACGGGTGATCGTGACAGCCATTCGAGTGGCATCCAGAGGTTAGCTACCAAGAGGTTAAGACCTGAAGTCAGATGATGATGATGATAAGACTTGTAGAGAAAACCTTGGAGGTTCATTGTCAACAGTGTAACAGCCATAGCCTCTGTAAGATGGAAGTCAATGATGGCAGTGTGGTGACATCAACAGCATTGTCTGTGATAACCTGCTGACTAACCGGTTGACTGTAATCTTGTCTCCCATCGCAGCTTCAGGTCCCGGATGGACAGCGCGATTTGATGACGTGGCGATGGACACGGGGGGTGGGGCATCTGCCGACGGTGACGTGGGAGGACGGGCGGGTGACAGCAGCAGCACCAGCAGCAGCTCCAGTTCGTCTCCAGCTGTAGTGGACACAGGCTCCAGTCTGTGGGAGAACGCAGGGGGCAGCCCTGGACCTGGGCAGCAGGGCCTCAGCTGGGCTGATTTTCCTGACACCAAACCCAAAACCTCCAGGTGCCCCCTCCCTCCTTTCTTTGCTGCCCGATATTAGAGCTCTGTGAACAGCAAAAATGAAACGTGGACAAAAAGTGAAAAGGTCATACTTGCTGTAAATGTAAAAAATATATTCTTAAACGATTTGATTACTTGTTCAGATTCGAGGATACTATTTGGCTTCTTGTGCCCTTGTGATATTTAATCTTTAGTTGTATGAATCTATGGTATAAAGTTATAAATATGTATGCACTGGAAATTATCTTGTACACCTTATTTGATGCATGTATTGTAAGTGTATTAATACACTTTAAATGATGAATCATTATAACCCAAATGCTTTACAAGGGTTAAAAAAGCAGACTGTTAGGTGATGGCACACACTAGCTAAACAGCTCCCCTCCCTTGTTGCTAATCAAATGTACCAAGAAGCCCATATTACTAACCCTGGCCCTGGTGCATAACCAGCCTTCTTTTCAGTTTTTGTTATTTCACTTTTCATGTTCACAGTGCGTCTCGGTCCTTGATGTGCGACGTGAACAGGTATTGCTGGGCTTTTTTGAACAAAGTGCAAGTGGCATTTAAGGTCAACAGCATTTTCATTTGACAGGCGTATATGCAACACTTGGACCAGTTTCCTACTCTGCTCATCGGCAAGCCATGGTTGGTTCCACAATTTTTGATTTGTGACGGTACAACCAAGAGCCAGTATGAATACATTCAAGCCTTTGACTCATTAAATGAGCAATGGGGGTAGCAGTCGCCTCTGTTTTTGGCGACTAGACAGTGGTGGGAATTTTGCATTCCCATGGTAGGGGTCTACCATAGGTTGACCACTGTTGGCTTCCCGTATAGTGATACTTGCTTTATCTACCCCAGAGGGATGATAGGTAATACATTTTACCATACAGAAATGTGTAACTTGCACCGTATATACTGTGTATTAAAATGAAATTCCAAATTACTCTAATTTTAACAAGGTTAGGATTTTATCATCGTTATTCTAACTGTTCCACCTGAATTTACTTTTATCATGTCAATAAATATTTTTGTGTGATGGGAAGTCAGATTATAATGAATATTGCATACACATGACATTATTTAGTATTTCATTGTGTATACTAATAATGACAAATGACCTTATAAAATAAACAATGCTTTAAAATAGGCCAAGTAATTCTCAACTTTTTGACGTGCCCTCGTACATGTGTATCCGTTTGTACAGACCCCCCACAGCATTAGCACACATCAGGTGCAGGATTGATTCCCTTATTTAAGTATATCGTATGTATAAAACCCCACCTGCTGTCACTTAAGTTTTAATATTAACATGCATTTTATATTACAGGAGCTTTTACCTGAGCAACAGTGCACCTGCAAATCTGCCCTTTTAACATGTGGGACATTTTTAGGGCCATTACAACGATGAAAAGCTGAAATTCATGGCTGCAATCTCTTATGTTCAGTCCACACACCAAAGGTGTCTGGGAGCGAGTTCGTGCCTCGTGAACTTCCCATTTTAAAATGTCACCTGTTTGCATGCTGGTGATTTACTCTCACTGAATGTGCACATGCAAACTAAGCAGTTCTTGTCAGCCTTCTGCGATGTCACTATACCGCATTATAAAATTCTAAATGCCCATAAAACATACATAAAAAAGACTCCTGACTCTTAAGAGGTGTATTGAAAGGCGTCGGGTGTCGGTACTGAGCTGGCACCATTGTGATCCTGGTTTCAAATCCAAGCAGCCACTCGTGATCAAACCGGGTTCTCCTTTGTCATCTGTTAATGGTTTCAACTAATAAGCTGCACAAAAACCGCCATATTACATTTTCAATAAACGTGTTACTTCCCATAATTCCAGTTCTAAGAATGAAAAAAATATCAATTTGATTACCCGTACCATGTATGGGAAGTGCAGTACCCTTTGTGTGCTTCAAATTAGGTTGCTTGAATATCGATCTCACATTTCCTTTCACGGACCATTCTTTAATAGAGGGTGATACGTTCCTCTGCGATATATCCTCGTTTAAGGACTTAATGCCGAGAGCACATTTTATAGTTAAATAAATCCCTGACTCCCTAATTGCATTCGGAGTTTTTGTACGATCTCAACTACTTGTGTTTACCAAAAAGAAACTTATCCAGTGTTCATTCTCGATTTGAAGTTTTTGTGACTGCAAGGATCCATGCTCTTTGGTTATTTCAGCAGTTGCTTCTGGCTGTGGTGGTCCCACCTGATGACGAGCGCTTGTGTTGCGCCTGAAACGTTGTTATTTAAAAAAAATTTACCTATGCGACTTTACCGAAAGAACCAAAGTGTATTTATCCAGTGTTGTAGACTGTCTGGAAAAGTGCTCTTATCACTCCTTGTGATGTGATTAAGTGCTTTGTGCAGTATACAGCATCACGCTTGCTGGTCACCTTAATTCCCTTACGAATTAGTAAATCAATTTAGGCTAATTTTACCTCCAGTAGACCCTGATCAAGTCCGGATAACAGTTGCCACTGGTGTCTTATGTCATGGCTGATAGATGAACCGATATAGTTGGTCAGAGTCCAAGGGCACAACTCGCCACCACATTGCTTCCCACACTTCCATGCATCCAAGTACAGCCATACACATGGCGGGCACACATACAAACATGATTTCCATACTTTTTGTTGAGGTCTTATCATTTATGATTTTCTATTGTAAATTATATCTAGGTATACATTTGTGCATTACACAATGATTGTAACTGCACACTAGGTTTATCTTGTATGCATGCACATTGCATGTTTTGGTAAATGTAACTGCTGCTTTCATATTTAGTAGCATGGGTGTTGGTCATAATTCATATTACAGTAATTTACATGATATGTCAATTCATTGTCAACTTGACTTAACATTAATTGAGATTTAGTTTGACTATAACCTCCATATACCTTATATGAAAACAGCATTTAAAATTTTTTTGCAATTTTATTTATCAGAGTTGAGAAAGAGGTTTTAGCAGTTTGTCGAATACTGTTCCATATGCTTATTGTCAACAAGGCACCAATTGGCAAAATAATTCCTATATATGCAGCCCTGCTTGTGGAGGCACTTATGGCCAATTTCACTTCAATGGGGAAAAAAAATCTGCAAGCAAGTCAAATGCACAACAGTGAGTGGATGGCATCAAATAGATATCGCTTTGCGTCCACGAGTTTTTCCGGACATTGTTATGTACAGGTGTAAAGTAACGCTATTCACTTTGAGCCTCATGGAAGGGTTTGATATATTTTTTGCAGAAGGGTTTCCCAAGTTGAACGTGGTTCATGTTGATCAAGCACATTTGGTGTGTTAACCATGGTTAAATTAGGATTATTTTTTTATGTAAAAGTGCAAATTTTGAGCATTTCATTTCGGTGAATCATTTTTTGTTTTGGAGATAAATAGTTACAGGTAGTCTTTTATAGTTCGGCGACTTCGAGGCAAGGGTTGGTGGTGGATCATGATGAAACCTTCAAGCCAGTTGGGTTGAAGGTAACCAGGAGATGGTAGTACACAAAGTAGATTCCTGACCTACCTGTAAAGACTTTTGAGAGTTATTCCTTTCATATGCCTGGGTTTTTGCCAGGTTATCTCATTTCTACAACCAAAACTCTAATAATAAAGTGGCCAAGTGTCATAATTCAGGAACCTCGAGCTAATGTGTTTAGAAGCTCATTCAGGTTTAATTTAATACATGAAGGACATTATTTGGACAGTCATATTTTGAAACAATTGAGCTTGGCTGCTTTTAAATTTGGCTCCTTCACTAAACTGAAAGACATTGCTTCGAATAATTTGAGTGTGCGTGAAACACTTAAAAAAAATCCGTACACACTGGCTAGCAGCCCACTTTCTGTACTACCATCGCTTGGCCTGACATTTGCAAACTACACATGTTGATGCACAACCCACAAAGGCACACTTGCAGATGGCAGCAATATGAACCAATGCAACGTGTTTGAATAAGGAACTAATGTGCCTCACTCTTTGCAGTCTCTCGGTCACCGGCCCCAGGAGTAGCTCTCCCATCGCAATGGAAACTGGCCCTGACACCACCGACCACACGAACAAGCACGCGGCCTCGCAGACGGCCGGTGAGTTTGACCATGGCCGCTGTGGATAGGAGTCCAAGAACACAGCCTTCTTGTAGCTCAAATTACAGGACCCTGGAGACTGGGTTTCAATGCCACAGCTTCAGCACATGGAGACCGGTTTTGGCCACTCTTACAAAGCAGTCTGGAGACATGGTGCCTTCTACACAGGTCGTTTGGTCGAAGAGCTTGCAACCTTTAACATTTATAAATTCTGTTTGTCTTCACACTTTCGGCTTCGTCCGAATCATCTCCCTGCTCGAACGAGCAATGGGCAGGCACTTGTCTCCACTCAACCAGTGGTGGAAATTCAGATTTCTATTTTTTACACAGTCTTTTCATAGGATGACCATTTGTTAGCCTATATTAAAATTACCGTTTCTTGCTATACACAACATTGAATTGTTTGGAATTTTTTTGAAAACTGTCAACGGTTTATTGTACTGAGCACTGCACATCCTCCATTATCATTCAGTCATGTAATGTCATTTAATCCGACCGTGTCAGTCTGTTATTCACTTTGACTAGTGTCATTCATTGCTATTGGTCGAGACATTCAAGTGTCAGGGAGACGTCACTAACAAAAGAAACTTGTTTTGGTTTATGACGGGGAGCTGAAAGCCAGTCTCCTGAAATAGCTCGGAGATTCAGGCCACTGATCCTGAAAAGGAGTCCTCTTATTGCCACAGTGATGAGGTTATGACAAGGCAAATGGAGTGAACCATTATTGTCGGTTCCAGGCCACTGCCTGGACACGAGGGGAGACTTGTACCAATACAGTTGAACCAAAGTGACGCAATTTTTGGTTTATTGCTGATGTCAGCAGAATAGCGACTGCTCAAAGCAAGCAGAACACAATTGCAACTCGCGTTTCAAAATCCCCTTTGTCATTGGCGCAGCAAGGCTAGTCTCCTCATGGTTTCTCTTTAAATTGTACTTATTTTGATAATTTTCTCATCACAATAAATGTAAACCCTTAAAATGCTTTCATGGTCTGTGCCATTGGTGCAAATCAGATGGTAAATTACAGGCTGGCAGGTAGTAGACCACTTAACTGGTACCACTGAACCTGAGTTTTAATCTGAGCAGCCAACTGTGCTTAAACCGGATTCTCAAGTTTTAACGATTTCATGAACTCTGCCTGGCCACCAAAAACTGCATAATACGAATAAATTAATTTGACTGGTAAATTTCAGCTCTGAAAAAGTATAGTTTTAACTCTCATACAGAATCTCATAGGAAGCGCGTGGGACAAGTCTGATAAAAAGGCCGCTTAAGTCTGTGGGAGACATACTATCAAAAATCTCTTCCAGATGTTCTCACTGCTTTGTGAGATTTCCAAATGGATTAATTCTTAAGTTATATGATTCTTCAACAAGAAAGGCACTTGGGGGGGGGGGGGTGGTATCTGAATGGGAGTTGTTACATGGGGAGAACCAGCATTGTTAAAGCACTACGTTGAGCATGGTGGCTACATTGGGCACCTCATTTTAGAACTTTGGAGACGAGGGTTGGTGAATTGCATACATTTGTGAGAGTCTGAAACTTGTTGGGCTGCACGGTGACCAGAAAATGGCATGTTTGATTGTTCCGTGTCTTATAGTTTCTTTCCCATATCCGTTAACACTCCATGAAAGGCAATAGGCCAAACATCTAAATGCAGTTTCCTTCTAAAATAAAGGCTGGAAAAATGTCTTCGCATTATTATTTATGGCATCAGTTAGTAAGCTGTGTTTTTTTCATTGATGGGCATGCCAGCACTCCATGTATTACTCAGCATCATTAAATTTGTGCCACTTTACATCAGGAAGGGCGCTTGGTGACGGGCAGCTTCTCTTTGTCTTATACTGCCTGCCGCCAGTCATGGTATTCGTAACATGAAGCAATTCCATTCAGGGCCGTGGATTATGCCGCAAATAACGATTTTGAGGGGAGGCCCAGTCCAAACCACCTCCTACCCCCTAAGGGTTGCAACTAAGACTATAGCCATCCTAGATATGAGTTAAACATTTACATTTTTGACACGTCTAGAGCCTCAAGCAAGCAAGGAACTATATTTTGTCTTATCTATGCTCTTTGTGTGTCTGGTTTCTGTGTCCGCACGAACGTTTGTAAAGTTTAAAAGTAACTATCCGTGTGGTGTAATAAAATATTAGTTTTTTAATGCCATTACCCACGTGGCCCCTACACTTTCGCGTAGATTCTGTAAAAGCAGACGTGTTGCTTCGTCTTGGGAGTCGATCGCGATGTGGATAAGTGTCGACTGCCGTAATCTATCCAGTTTTGACAAATGGTCAAGAAGACATTTGCTATTAAATTGCAAGCGTGCGAAGTTACACACATCGCCTCGCAAATTTATTTTGATGCTACGGAATCAGCAGGTCGTTAGGGTTAAGTCTTCTGAAGACCCCCCCCCCCCCCCCCCAAGGCAAAGCTTTTCCTGCCAAAAAGGGTCGCGTCACACGAGGGCGCTTCTGCTGAAGCGGTTTGTGCAGGCAACCGTGACGCCGTACATGGGGGCACGATGTACAGCATTGCTCTGGTTGCTTTGGTTGATCCCCAGTAACGAGCACTACAGCTAACAGCATGGATCGCGGTGCGGGTACCGCTTGCGAAACAGTACATTGCCAAATACAGAAGTGCTCGCGATTGCGTTAGGGCCCGTTGACTGCCTGCATTCTAAGCACGCACCAAGCATGTGCAGCAGCAGCGAGCGTGCGTGATAATTTATCCCCGATCACAGGCCGTGTTTTAATTGCGCAGCGACTCGGTCGCAATTTTTTGCCGGAGTGGCATTTGATTTTGTCAGGGTTGCTCTGTATTGACTGCTCACGGCGGTGACGATATTGTCCAGGACCGGGCTTCAATCGGTGGGGCAGCCGGTGGCTCTGTGGACAGGTTTCGGATGAGCTTGAGGCACGAAGCGGGCAGGAGCTGGTGAGCAGCGGGTGATGACTTCGCTGTGCGTGAAGCAACAAATGAAACTCACGCGGCCATACCAGTAGACAACAGCTATAAAGAGGTACTACCCTGGTCGGCCATCCAGGGACCAGGACCTTTTCCCTGTGGTCGCTTATTTTTGGGAAGAGGCGGACAAGGGCATGGAGCTAATGCAAGCCTGGTCGGGGAAGCTGCCACAGAAACCATGCGGATAAAATTGTCCTAATCAGAGTGACGGGACTTCTTCCCTTGGCAGCCAGGGAGGCCCCAATGGTCCCAACCAGACAGCTGAGGTGTTTCCACATACCCTGCACACTACTCGGGAAGTGTCAGCCTGAGAATATGAAAATATCTCCGGAACTAGTCTGACCTTGCGTCGACCAGGAAAGGAATTCCACCCCCTCTCTGCTGTCGTTGGTCTATGGCTACAACATTCCCTGCACAGCTGAACAAGCATCAGCTATGTGCCTTCATGCAGGAGGCTGTGATAGAGGAGCTGAGCAGAGGAGAGTCTAGTCAGAACAAATTAACAGGCGACATAACTCATCATTGGCTGAGTCATCGTCAGGTGAGGCAAACTAAGAAATGGATGTTTTAACAAAAGACCTCCAGCGTTAGCTGAGACGCAGGACCCGGCGCAAGCTCAAGCTTTCTGAACCGGATAAACCTCAGCCGACTGAGGCAGAGCCATTCTTCACCAGTGATTTACTGTGAAGAAACACAACGCTTCCGCTTCCAGAGTTTCTGAAGAAACGGTTCCGCCGGAAGTGGGTGAAACCAGCTGGGGCCCCACGCAGCCTCAAGGCTCGTTACGCACTGGATGAAAGGGGGTCGTTAAACTTTCCCTTTGATCCCAAAAAGAGGAAAGCTCCCAGGCCCTGCCAGATGCAAATGACCAGGGCTCTAGTTAAGGAATTCAAGATAGGTCATCATGCCGCAGCTTCTGCCATATGCATCGCTACATACGTGGCGTTCGTAGCCAAGTTCGTCATCGAGTTGTTGAAGAGTCCAAGCCCAATGAAGGATCAGGAGTTCTACCAGACCTACCTCTAGAATGCGACCATGTTTTCCCTCAACGCAGGAAGAGATGTGCTGGACAGTGTCTCCGAGGTACTGGCTGCCGTCGTAGTGGGCCGCAGGGTGATCTAGCCTCAATGACTCAAGTTAACCGCCAGCTGTTTGAAGGGGAGATCCTCTTTATCAATGACTGTCAGAACGACTTAAGAAGGTGGACGGCGCAAATAAGTCAATAAGCCTTTGGACGTTGGTCTTGGTATTACAGCAGGGAGCTCAGCTCCAAACCAACCTACAAGTCCCACTGCACCGGAAGCAAGGCAAAGGACAAGCCTAAATGGCCACAGTGCTGAGCTGATTCAGCCACTAGGGCACAAGTGTCGGCACCACTATTGATTCCAAGGAGAGCAGCTGGTTTCCCCTGTCTCCTGCATGCATAGGGAGCCATATAACCATATTTACGCAGGTGTGGGCTCGCACGACAAGGAACACATATCTGAGCAGTCATGGAGCAGGGCTACAAGCCGGGCTTCCAGGCTCATGTTTCAGTGGATTCAAACTTTTTCCTCCGTTGGAGAATCCAGAGCTCGCTCAGGAAATCTCAAGACCTTTTGGTATCCAAGCCATTCAATACATGGCTACAAACTAACAAGGGCTGGGATTTTTTTTTATCCAGATTTTTCATGGTCAGAAAAAGCTCTGCTTTAGGCCAATTCTGGATCCCGATGTTCTATCAGAAATACCCTGCAATAGGGTGATGGGATGACTTTGGAAGACCTGCAAGATGCCCACCTGTCACGTGCCTTTTCACCCACAGTGCTTCCAGTACTTGTGATTTTATGCCCTCGGGCAACACTGAGAAGCGAGCGCTGCCATTCTGTCTGGCTGGTGTTCAAGGTTGTCGTGGCTTTGGTGGTGACAACGAGAGGGGATATTCTCAGTTACCCCTATCTGGATGACCTGATAATATCATCATGTTCCAAACTCCAGCAGGACACCGATGCTGTCCTTAGACTGCTCAAGGAACATGGTTGGGTGATGAACCCAGCCTAGTTTTTTTTTCAATGCAACGACTATCACCTCAGTGACGACATTTGGAAGGATCAGATGTGGCTTCCGGACAAAAAAGCATTGCTTATCAGCCAGCAGGCTCGAGAGCTGAAAGCCAGTCCGGTGACCAGGGCAAGGAACATCCTAGTCATTTTAGGGCACATGGCCTCTACCACAAATATGGTGCCCTGGGCAAGCCACTTCTGGGATGTACTGTGGCAATGGGACCCATTTTTGTTCAGTGTCAAACTTTGCCTTTCTACCATATTCTCTCTAACCCCTCCTCTCCACATGGCCTTTGTTGTGTCCGTGGAAAAAATAATTGTTATTTGTGCGTCCCCCTACCTTGGGGGTACTTTACTATCAGTAGTGAGGATTATGGGTAGGGGTGGGGAAGTATGATCATGGCTGCTTTATCTGCAGCGTGTTCCGTGGCCCAAAGGGAATTGCTGAATGTTATGAATAACATTGGATTGGTGGCCAACAGTATGGACTAGAAAAAACACAAGTTTTTACCAAGGTATAAAACCATGTTTTTTGTGGTCAGTGATTGGTGTTGGTAGTGTGCAGAGTTTTACGTTCCGCTGAAGTTGTTTGTGTGGTTGTGGTTTATTAATACAGGGTCATATACACACGATGTTGATAGTGCTTATTCATGATAGCAATAACCGGTATAGCGTAGGGCAGATACATCAACAACACAGACCTTACATTTGTAAGGCACCTCTAATACTGCCAATGCAGTTCCACTTGTAATTCCACCTTGATATGTGGCCATCATAAAACTATCGTCATCCACAACAGTTGGCCTACAAAAAGAGACACACAGTGATATTTGTTCATTGTCAGCCACTTTACACCCTGACGCTTGCTGCTGGTCATTCCAGACCTACCACCGGTGGTGAAGCAGCAGCAGCAGCAGAAGCCCGAAGGTGGCAGCAGTAGCAGCAGCAGTTTGCACACAGCACGGGCTGTTGCACCGGGCGTGCCTTCGGACGATGACAACAGTTCATCAGGAGGCTCGGACAGCGACGATCACGAGGAGGTGGCGGCGGCGGTAGTCGGGGCGTCGCCGACGTCCTCTTCTGCTCCCGGCGGAGCTGCCAGCAGTGCCGTCTCGCGGCCCGGGGGCTGTGTTGTCACGGAAACGATCACGACGGGCTCCGTGCAGGAGACCGTGTGCCTCACCATGGACGCGAAGAGCGAGACGGCGGTCTTCAAGAGGTACCTGCTCTGCGCGGAGAGCGACGGGCAGGGCGAGGGCTTCGCAAATGCCGAGGGTGGAACGGGCTTTTGCTTCGTGAGGCTTTCTTGTTGCCGTGTGAAAATTGGGTGGTGAGGTTTCAATCCTGATTGAGTGCCATCTTTTTGGGAAGTTTCCAGTGGGTTTTCCCCTTGCAGAGAGAATGATCCTGCTGCAGGAATGTGGAAATGATGCAACTGGCTTGCATAGGGCTGCCAATGGAAATGAGCATTCAACAGGGATACTTTGAAAACCTGTTATAAAAACCAAAGTGTCTGAAAACCGATTATACTCGAGGGGATATTGCTCTATTCATGTGTATAGTTCAGCAGTCTACTCGCTGTACTGCCACATTATAGTTCAGCAGGATGGGGATCTCGCACTTGTCCATGATCCATCAACCCTGCCTGTAAAGTTCTGGATTACAACCAAATATGTATTGAATATATTAATGCATTGCAACGTGTTAGAATTTTTTTTAGAGTTGTGGCTTTCAAATGCATTTAAAAAAGATCACTTTGTCCAGATTATTACAAATCTAGTTGTGCCTACCGTGAAATGCTGGGTGACACATGAAGGCTATCATTGGGAGTGTAATTCTACTTATGGCGTCAGATCTTTAATGAACACCACTTTTTTAAGCATACGCATGAAATAACACTTTTAAATGCACATTTGGCTGTGATGGAGATAACTTTTCTTCCTCCAAAAGTCACAGTAAACCTTTTAATTAAATTTCCGGGTAAGGTTTGAAAATCACTGCATTAACCTTTACACATCCTAACACTGAATTGATCTTTTTTAAAATGCAGAGAGTAGATGTGTATAGATTGTCACCCAAGGCCATTTATTTAAACGTAGTCATTTCCTTGTAAGGAATTTATGGAAAACATTCTAAAATGCATCGATTTCTAAAGGTAAACATTTTATTTCACAGGGGGATTGTGTTCATACTAGAAAAGGCAACTGCCGCTCAAATAATAAAGCTAAACTGAGATGATGTATTTGTTTTGTTAAAATGTTATCATTCCATCCTTCAACTGTGGTAGTGACATTTTTTAAAATTGTTTCTTTGGGCCATGACGACTTAGTGGTTGTGTTTATTTATTTGTTGGTCGTGAACTTTGTGTTGGTGTAGCATGGCTTCGCATTTTGTGAACCGACAACTCGATGAAAAATAATTAAAATGACGTGATTTAGATAATTCTACGTCAGAGTGAGATTTCCCATCGTCACAAGTAATAGTTTTACAAATGAGCACACGATTAAGTATTCACATGGAGTTTACTTTATGCCCATAGTGACACCGCTGTATACTGTTTTAACAGCATCCTTACACAAGTATAGGCTGAAAATTTAAGACTTGATTGCGTGAGAAGATTAAAATAGGTAAACTTTTTGGGCAACGGCCCTTCATAGCAGAGATAGCCAGAATATTTGTTGGGTTGACTTACAGCTGTACAGTTTTATAGTGTGGTGGTTTATAATACTTTAAAATGAGGCTGTTAAAATTTAGACGTTGATGGATATTATTTTTTAGTATAAGAAATAGGGTAGTAAGCAGACTTTGAAATAATACATATATTATTAAGTGCATTCATGGAAATGGCTAATTTTTAATTTGCAAAACTGATGAAAAGTAGGTCAGAGTATTTTAAGAGCATCGGAATAACCACGTCCTCAAAACCTTTTAACGTAATGAATACTTTATAAAAGGGCTTCACTTTAACAAGAACTTAATCCACTGTTCGTTAAAACTTATGAAACAATTCTAGCAGTGTTGGGTTCTTATGTCCAGAATTCTCTTTATGCCACCATTCAGGTTAATGCAAAAGGTGCGCGGACCTTTAAACCTTGCTTATGAACTGCTGCTGCTACACTTTTCTGCTGCCGCTGCTGTTTGCTGCAGTGGCAGCTGCTTTGGGCAGAGCGCCGAGTGACTCTGTGATCTCTTGTTGCACTTGTCTTCCCTTCCCACTGGCTTCTATGAGGTGCAGGATCTTTAGGTCAACATGTAGATGGTATGTAGATTTTGCTGCCTCTGAAAAAAGAGTTCCTCACTGACCATTGAGCCATGCCATTTTTGGCACATGCACAGCGAAACCCTGCTTGTTTTTTTCTTTCTGTTTTGATTTAGCTTTGGCTGTCCTTTTCTTTCACTGTTCTGCTTTTTTGTAATTTTCGTTATTGATGATTTTTTTGTCACCATTGGCCCTCTGCGTCCCAGCATGTATGTCTTAAGATTTTTTTGCCGCATCAAACATGTCTTCATTATTGAAACAAATCAAACGCTACATTTTTTTAAAACAGTTCTAGAGACATGTATCGGCTTCAATAAACATATTGAGGCGCTTAAATAGTGCACTAAAAATACCACTACCTGGGCTGAGTGTAGGTCATCAATTTGTCATGGGTTTTTTTAGCCGTTGCATGTCAAATCAACCATTGCTATAAAATGTGACTTTGTTGCATACTTATGCTGAATTAGTATGGAAAGCAGTAATTTCTGGGAGCAAACTAAGTGCAGCCCGATTACATTGTTCATTGACTAAATTTGGCTGGGAGTGCCAAACAATTTATGCTGCATGTCTCAGGTTGGCTGCTTATAGAATGTGCAGTAAAATCACTTATAAAAGGCAAATCAAATATTACAATGCAGCATTTGCTACAGTGATGCAATTGCGACTCATTCCGACCATGTTTTGCACACCTTTAGCTAATTTTGGTACATTTCTCCCAAGCCTGGCCATAAGAACATGAAAATTATGATTCAGATGCCCTCTTAGAATGACCTAATTTACCAAATACAACACAAAGTATGCAGATAGCATTATACAGTGGCAACACAACGCTGAGCCTATTTAGAAGCCATTAAATATACGTGGAGGTCATACAACAAGGTTACATACGACAACACCCAGGTGTCTGTAGTGTAACTGCAGAGTTACAATGTGCTTTCCATCTGATCAGTTGCCTACGCCAATCACAGGTGCAGCATGAAATAAGAGGGGACACCAGAAATCCTTTTACGTTTTCAAATCAGAGTTGTATAAGTGATGCATTTCAGTTTTACGTGCTGTGCGCATCCTTTTAAATACAATTTAAAAGTTAACAGATTTTCCTACGTTAATCTTGAAAGATAACATCTGCTAGGTTAAAGGGAAACAGGCGTTATTTATTAAAAAGTTATAATGCATTAAGTTTATTTGGCTGCTTTTAATTTCCACATGATAGGCTACTTGTTAAGCTCTCATTTGTGGCCAGGTCATTTATGAAAAAGAGCTATATAGTTCAGTGGTCCTTGTAAAAAGAAAAATAGATAGCTAGAACAGATAGGTATTTAAAACAATCATTCTTTTTTGGACTTTCAAAGTTATTTATTTAAAATTGTCCATAATCACTCAGGCTCCATGATCACATTTGTCACGGATAGGTGAGAGGTATTCTGTGTGGTTGATTAAACATGTAATGATCTTTTACTTATGCACGTACAGCGCACATGCGCTTGCATATTTTTTGGCGAATGACTCCTGCTGCCAGCCGCCTGCCTCCGCTGCCACCTACATTTCATTCATTCATTTTCCCACTCGGAAGCTTTCAGCATGAACGATAAGAGCAATGGCAAATAACTGTAAACGAAATGATACCATTTAAAACGAGGAAGGAAATGAAATGGTGTGGTTGATACCTCGCGACTTTTGGACGGTTGGGTTGGGGGAGCAGTGCAATGCGTTGGTGTCTCACTGGCAAGCGTTCCACACAGATCCGTTTGTGTATGCGTGCACACCTGTGTGTTTTCCCCCTTTTGTTCCGTCCCCCGCAGCAGTGACGCGGCGGATGTGGTGAGCTCGGATGACGTTCCCATCACCGAGATGTCCCTCAGTGGCTCCGAGTCTCCTCAAAGTCCAGTCGCGCAGCCCCCACGGACTACTGGCCCAGCGGACAGGTACGGCGTCTCTCACCCCAAACCGCGTGCACACCCAAATTTACCTTGATGATTATTAGTGACTGAGCTGAAACCATTAACTTAAGACATTTGAGAATCCAATTTCGTCGTGAGCGGCTGGCTGTCTGGAGGAAAACCCAGGACCTCATGAGTGCGTCTGAGAAATCTGGCCACCTAGGCTTAGTACGTCTGCTTTTGCTGTACACATTCAGGAGTTCCCCGGGCCATGAGGAGCCTGGCAAGGATCTGGCGATAGCGGTGCCCGTAGAGAATGGACCTCTGGAGGAAGTCCTGCCAGAAACCCTGCCCAGGTGATGCCGGTAGGCAGAGATGAAGGAGCCACCACACACATGCAACGTCAGTCTTAATTCATACAGGCATTGCAAAAGCGATTCCTATATGAAGAAAAGAACAAACATTCACGTATGCACTGACATGAACGGAGACATGTCTGTTAACCGGCATATGTTTCAAATAAGAATATAATTTGATATTCTTTTTACAAAGGCCTTGCCACTTCTTGAGACTTTCAAGAGAACACTGCATTGGGATGTTTGGCTGATTCCTTATTAAGGAGTGTTTTGCGGGGGAAAAACTGGAGTACCCAAAGATAATACACGCATATGCGAGTAAAACACTTCTTCTTTCGTACGGATTCACAGTAGCGGATTAAAGATGTAATTTTAGATTTGTTATCCACTCAATTGTCTGTTCAGACGCAGAGTGGATCCCGTCCGTTCTTCCTCTAAAGGAGTGAAGACAGCAGCTGTTTACAATGTGGTCGATCGTTTGGCATCGGTGGCCGCACTCGCAGGCCGCCGAATCTTTGACGCGCCATTTGTTCATCGGGTGGCCGCATCGGCCATGCCCCGTCCTGATTCGGTTGATGGTCGACCATTGGCGGCGTGGAAGGTTGAAACCGGGAGGTTCTACGGTAAGGTCCTGTACGAGATGTTTATTTTTGATGTTGGCCGCAGTCCAGACTCTCGCTTCTATCTCTCGCCTTCATTTTTATTTGTGGCGTGGAGTGAGGCTGCTCTGATCCAGAAGGGGTGGCGTTATTTTAGGCGAACAGGCGGCACTGGGTTGATGTCCCGATGTATCGGAAGGTGCGGGAGAACACTCAGATGTGCGCACAGACAGGTCATGAACCCATTTGCTGTGCCGCCGTTTCCTGGTGCGTGAGTCCAGGCAGCGATTTGCGTAGGCTCAGAAAATGCGGAGCGCAAAATGCGGAGTATATGTGCACGTTCCCGTCAGATCGTAAAGATGGACACTTATCAGTGGTCGCTAGCGGGAGTAACGTATCATCATTCCCGCTACACCAGCCAATCGGCTGCAATGGTGATTTTTGTTACAAGTTTCCATGGATTTCTGCTACAGCACTTCCTCTTTGAAGTAGAAGAGAGAAACTTGGGACTGATGAGGTGGACATCCTTTTTTATGATTTGGGTGTCCATCTCTATGAAATTAACTTAGCATTTAGTTGCAGCAGCAGTGGGAGATGCAAGAACAGAGGGTTACGTGACATGACATTGAGCTCTCGTAGCATAGGCAAAGCACTCCATCGCAACCACAACGGTACGTCACATAAAGCGCTTAAACGACCACAACCATACACAACCGATCAAACAGCCATACACAACAAACCGTTTCATAGCAACAATAACCAACCATCGCAAAAAGTGGGCCAACCCAACTACACACGAAAATATAATCGCTCCAACACAACTGCAAACACACACAGCAATGACCACAAATAAAACAAATACAAGGGCTCAAACACAACTACTAAATGGAGAACTCACCTTCCACGCAGCTGTTTCAGAGTAATGGCGGATTTAAGGCCGCTCCCGACCACCTACATTCTCGTGGAATTGTTTGCCATCTTGCATAAATCCCATGGGAAATCAGAATTGTATAAAATCATGGCCTATGCAATTTATAGAATTGCGTAAGCCGTTCAGTACTCGGGCCCCCCCTGCCCTCCTCACAGCTTAGGGGATTTTTGAAAGTCTTGCAGCTTATCCTAAAATCCGTGCGATCCATCAACCTTTCTTCCAAAGAGCTGGATTACAGATGTTCACTGCCATGCATGGTCAGGTTGTGTTTAATGCAAATGTTCAACTTAGTACCCGTATTTTGTGGTGCTATGATGTATATTATGTAAAGTTCAATTACTTATGTCGCATACATAAGCACCGCATTGATTCAGAAATATAACATTTGCTTTGGTGATACTGCATTGGTGGTAGTGTGGTGCCCAAGCACAAATAACAAAAATGCAACACATTTGTCAAATAGCACTGCTTTAAAATGGAAAAAAATATATAACTGGCAACAATGTAGGCAATTGCCTTTCTTCATAGCACATAGATGATATATGATCTGTGCTAGGAATAAGAGCTATTGCCTGAAATGTCCCCTATAAAAAAAAGTATATAGTTGGAAAAGTTTTGGGAAAGAGCCCTTCTTTCTGGCTCAGTGCAGTATTTATGAAATATACACTATCAGTTTGCAGCGCCTGTGTTTTAAAATGCAAACTGTTGTGCTGTGTGCGGATTTGTTTTTGGCAGGCCGGAGCCACTTGCTGCTGGTGAAGTCATGACAAGCGTCTCGTCAGCTTAGTGGTGAAGTGCGGCGCAAACGTTTGATTTCGTCGTGGCTGGGGGAAATCTCACACTCGTCGAGGCTGGGGAAGTCTTATCAGAACAAGTCGCAAAAACAATAAAAAGTGTAAAGTTGTTCCCAGCGTACGCCTCGATATCCAGCCTAGGTCTTTTAACGGTGCGCATTGAAAGCTCGGCTGTATTTTTACCATTGTCCCCTCCCAAATTCGTTCAGCCACTAAACCTCAGAATATATTATTGAGTAAAAGAAGAGAGCAATATTATAATATAGCAGCCCTGTTATTGCGTTTTGCGTGTGCAAGGAAATAATTGGGGAGGGGGGTGGGGAGGATAACAACCGATGTAAATTGACGTTTTAAGTTTAGAGTTGTGCAGATTTTTAATCGCAAACCCCCTAAGTGTTTTCAAAGGGTAACAGTGGAGAAAAGGATAAACTTTCCCAGCGGAATGGCACATCACAGGACTAGCACATACGTTTTGACAGCAGGAACATATTTTTGTTTAAGTAAGGTAATATATGGCCTGTACTTTTTTGAAAGCAGCAAAGTTTTGCAAAAAATATACATTAAACATTTTTAAAACGGCAACACAGAATGGTCATTCAGTCTTGGCAAGGATCGTATTGTTTAATACATCGCTTTGGAATTAACGTTAGAAAGAAATGTGCAAATATATATTGTACGTCTGAAACTAATATAATGAATGGACCATTTCAAATCATGTAATTAACTAAACATACCCTGACTAAACATACCCTGACGTGAGACATTGGACGCGATAATAAATGATCATGGTTGTTTTGTCGAATGGTTTGACGTTTCTAAATTAAAATCGACAAACCAAATTGATGGTGAAGCTACAAAGGAGGCTTCTGATGTGAGCAAACGCCATTGCTGAACGTGCTGTCGACTACGCTTACTGTGTAACTGTTCCTGTGTTTGCATCTTGTACAAAATACAGCTGAATTAGCAGCCCGGAGGAGTAACGTTGTGGTTATCTTAATTTCTGCCAAACCATACCCTTCTCCACACCACCTCCCCCTCCTCCCCACATTCCCAAAGGCCCCGTCTTTCCCAACAGAAACTAAATCCTGGCCAGATTGTAGAATTGCAGTGTATACTTGGATATTTTGGAATTGCTTGTATTAAACCAATTGCCATAAATACAACTTGAGTGGCTGTTTAATAATAAGGCTGTCGGTGCCACTGTTGATGTTTTACCAAGTGTTTGATTAAACTTAACGCAAATGCTTCTATATGCACTCTCGATTATGTTCCGTGTGATTCAGGTAGCTTTGTATTATTATAAAGTCTTTCCCCCCCCCCCACCCCCTTTCGTTGAATGCAATTACAAAAAAATGCCCTTATTTTTTCCTCCCTTGTTGGATCTTCCCTTTCCCTCCCCCGTCCACCATGACCTTTCCCTCTAAAAAAAATTGTTGATAAAATAACCGTTGTGTACAGAGGTCACTGGCTACGTGCTCTTTTTATATAATTGAAGTACCGTGTGCTTTTGCGTGTATGCATGTGCGTGATGATTATACCACCCTACATTGTATTGCATATTTTTCTTTCCAATCACCTTTGTTTATTTTAGTCTTCACATGTAATCACGAAAGCCCATGATGAATTTTGATTTGAAAATCTAAAAAAATTTCAGCACGGGTCATTGGAAAGCAGTGGCATGGGTGAAAAATGCCCCAGCGCTTGCAGACCAAGCTTTATAGCTATGCACCGTCAAATACTTTTTGAACCTTGGTGCTCCTTGTCCCATTTTTATTACACAGGCTCCATCACGAGCTAATACAGAATGTTGAGGCAGATATAGGTGTGGCTATTAATTTACCTTTGCCTCATGCCTTTTGATTAGAGATTGAAATATCAGCCGAAGCTTGGGCTTTCACATTTGACCACCACATGTTAGTGCTTTTTTCATTCTACCCCATGGTTCCAATTCTATCGGAATAATTTGACAACTTTTGGAAAATTTCTCAACATGTCGCATTTGTTAAAACATCCTGCAGAACAACATTTTTTGTTATACGCTGTGTGAATGACATTTTCCCGTGTACACTCTGTAGTGCGATTGTCACATGGCATCATACCAATATTTTTTTTCCAGAACGTGTATTCAAATCAAGTGCAAAACCAAATTTGATGATTATGTTGAGCAGTTATTAGTGATTGGGATGTGAACAAACTTGCTTGACAATCCAGTTTAATCACAGGTGGCTGCCCAGATTCAAATCTAGTGTCTCGGGGGTTTTCTCAATGCTGTCATCTGAGCATTAGCGAAGCTAATGCTGGCTGATCTGGAAATAATGACAATGTTTAGCACTTTTTTTTCGTACACTAATTTATATTTTACTTGTTTCATTTAGTTAAACCAGCCTAAGATCTAATGCCCCTCCCAACAAAAGCCTTATAGCTGCGTAAATTTATATTTGTTTATGTTCCTGTAATATTAATCTAATATATAGTATATATTAATCATTTAATATTACTGGCATGTCGAGAGAGGCAAGTGCTTTTTGTCACCGGGGGTGGGGCAGGCTGGGTGGTCTGCGGAAATGTTTGCATCGGTTGAGTGGTCCACGGGCCAGACAAGTTTTGAAAAAATACTGCTCCCGCGCTTACACGAGCTCATCTCATCAATTCTCGGTGGTCATCCTCTCAGACTTGTACGCATCTGGCTCCCATCATCTGTCTTGACCCTAGGCCATTCTCCCTTCTCACGACGTGTCCTGTCCGATGCCCACTTGCTTAATCCAGTTTTGTCTTAAGTTTTAATTTTGGTGGCTGCTTTCTCCCTTGGGCACCTTACAATGGTATTCTTGGTTCTTTCGGTAAAGTCATGTCGATAGAAAATAAGAATAACAAAATTTAAGATTGAAAATAAAAAAAACCCACGACGTTTCGATCGCAACACATGCGGTGTTCATCAGGCGGAGAGAAAAGAGGGGGCAAGCCCAGATGTCTGCGTACGCCTCGGCAAGGTAAGGTAAAAGTTAAAAGGTAAAAACAACGAGCCTACCTTTACCCTACCTTTTACCTTACCACAATACAATCACTCTACCATACCTTTTACCCTTTAGCAGGTAAGGTTAAAGGTAAAAAAGCAACGAGCCTACCTTTTACCCTTACCCCGTACATATTACCCGATTACAGGGTAATTACTAGGGAACTACTACACATGAACAAGGTTTATAACGGTAAATGCTAGGTAGAGCGCTTTATTCATATAGAATACTCTCGATGATTCCAATTTTACACGCTTGTATCCTCAAATCTTGTAACTCAATTTTAACCCACTTCCCAATGCAAACTTGGTATACTGATGTCATACTGATGACAATACTATATTCCTTTAAAAAATGTCTTTTGAAACATTTTTTATATGTTATGTTTCGGCTTGGGTCTAATTGTCCACGGTCAACTGACGTTGGCTGTAAATAACCACGGCCCCTTACGTTATGGCAAGCTTCGGGGCCACTTTCTGGAGTCGTGGAGTTCTGCCATTATGAGTACATTTAATAAAAGCGTGTTTTTAAAAAAGTATGTTTTCATATTACTTATTAAATGGAGGCCACAGACTGCGCCACGGAGCTTTTAGCGGTAAACAAGGTACCGTATTTACCGGGTAAAACTTCGCGCTACTTTTACCCGACTGGGTAATTCTTCCAAGCTACCTTTACCTTACCCCTTGCAATGTCCACACCTTTACCCTTTTACCCGGTAAAAAGGGTAATTTCCTTTACCTTGCCTATGCCTATGTCTGCGTACAGGGACTTGTTTCCATAGAGGTTTTTTTAGGGTTAGATCGCCTAAATATGTGTCGTTAAAACCCGCCTCCACGAGAAAAAAAACCAGTAAGGGTTAGGGGCCGTCCATAAATGACATTACGCGATTTTGGACGATTTTTTACCCCCCCCCCCCATCGTCACAAAAAGTCAGACCCCTCAAATATGACGTCACAAAGCTCTGTCCCCCCCCCAAATAAAACATGCTTCAAATCGCTTTAAACTATTGTCATTGTGCGTATTTAAGTAAGAGCCGCTTACTTGATACAGCTATCTCTGCTGTGACGGTTCCACCTGAAGACGGAAGCTTGTGTTGCCTCCGAAACGTCGTGATTTTTATTTTACTTTTATTAATTTGAGTTTTAAATTTTTTACCTACGTGACTTTACCGAAAAAACCCAAGAATATGAATCCTTGCAGTCACGAAAGCTTTAAATCTAGAATTGAGTAATTATGATTACATTATACTGGTAGGAACCTCCTGGTTACACTAGCCCACAGGGGATTATTGTGTCCGTCCGTCCGTCGTGCATCCAAAAATGGGAGGAGTGGGGCTGGGTGGGGAGGGAGGGGAGGGGCTCGGCTGGGTGGGGAGGGTGGGGAGGGGCTGGGAGGGGAGGGGCTGGGAGGGGCTGGGTGCGGAGTGGCTAGGTGGGGAGGGAGGGGAGGGGCTGGGTGGGGAGGGAGGGAAGGGGCTGGGTGGAAAGGGGAGGGTGGGGAGGGGCTGGGTGGCGAGGGTGGGGAGGGGAGGGGGGAGAGGCTGGGTGGAAAGGGGAGGGTGGGGAGGGGCTGGGTGGGGAGGGTGGGGAGGGGCTGGGTAGGGAGGGGCTGGGTGGAGAGGGGAGGGTGGGGAGGGGCTGAGTGAGGAGGGGCTGGGTGGGGAGGGGTGGGGTGGGGCTGGGTGGGGAGGGTGTGGAGGGGCTGGGTGGGGTGGGGCTAGGTGGGGAGGGGCTGGGTGGGGTGGGGTTGGGTGGGGAGGGGCTGGGTGGGGAGGGAGGGGCTGGGTGGGGAGGGGAGGGTGGGGCTGGGTGGGGGGTGGGGCTGGGTGGGGAGGGGCTGGTCACCCCGTGGTGCCCTTATAAAACTCAACGTTTAACCTACTCACGCCGGCTTGTGTCCGCCCTCACAGTCGGGCATATTTGCGGAATACACCACGCCGCCGTTGACCCTGGCCATTGACCGAGCAACCAACGTTCCTACCAGCTCCCTCTGCAGGAATGTGTTAGGCACCCCATAATTCTATAAGGGCCAACACGCAATGACAGAATTCACACTTTCTCCACTAGAGTGCGCATGGTGTTAAGAGTTGAGTGGCAGGTTGCATTGTGGTGTGCCCATTTTGACTGCTGGATGGATAGAGACAGGCTAATTGTACTTTGGAATTTTACCAAAGTAAAACATGTTAGGAATTACAGGTTGCTCAGCTTTTGGCTTGCAAAACAGTTGTTGGATAAATCCTTTGATACTTACCTGGTTATTAATCAAGTGACGATTATTGAAAACCGATCAAATACATACGTTGTAAAATGTTTCTGATTATCCATCATATATCTCTAACAGCCAGGTTGTTAAAACAGGGCTATTATGATTGTAAAGTCACGCATTCAAAATATGCACCGTCTCAATTCAACTCCATCATTATAATCGTCGCCATCATCATCATCATCACCTTGTCCTCTCTTTTGAGAATTCACCAGTGCTTGTAATATAGACAGACTTGTCCTTACCCACGGGAATGTCGACTTGCAACTCAACTCTTTTAAAAATACAGTTAAGTGCACTCGATATTCTGTGTTATGTTATTGAAAGAGCAATAAAAATCAACTTACAATCTATCCGCAAGCATTGTTGATTTACAGCAGAAAATTCAGCCGGAAATTATGGGTGCAATTTAATGTTATTTCGTAAAAAAGTGATGCACTGCACTGCAAAGAAAACTATTATTGATTCTGCCCGTATGTGTGTGTAATAAAGGACTCGACCCTGGTTCTGTCTCCGTGTCCTTTATTTGGGTTCGCGTTCTCTTCCCACACGGCTCTCCTCCTGAGACTCTCTGCTTGGCAGCTCCACAGCTGCCTTCGCTCCCGTAGCCTTCCGCGCTCCTGCAGCTCCGCTGCAGGCTCTTGGTGCAGCCCTCCGGCTGCTCTCACAGCAGCTCCACCGCTGCTCCCCGTTCCTCCGTGCTCGGTCACCGCTGGCTGGCGGTGCCGAGTCTTACCGTGTGTGGCGATCTCGCCACCCCCCCAACCTCAGCCCTGCGTGGCCTCTGTAGCTATCTCGCCATCTCCAACCTCAGCCCTGCGTGGCCTCTGTGGCTATCTCGCCATCTCCAACCTCAGCCCTGCGTGGCCTCTGTGGCGATCTCGCCACTCTCCGTCTCTATTCCCAACTCTCTCTTCCACCCCGCTGGCTGGCGCCGTCATGAGCCCCTCAGCCACCAGGCTGAGGCACGGCGACCACCCAACGTGTTCACCACCCTTCACTCCCCCGACTGACCCAGATGGCTTCCTGTCTCCCCGCTATAACTTCTCCCCCACGTGACCCTGACTCCTCCCTCTCGGATCGTCATATCCTTCCCGCCCATTTACGCCCGCATTACATGTGCATAGTGATCTCAATCATGCAACACCAGCGTTGTGTGCGATTTTTATTATTGCCATTTCGTG